CTTCTCCATTGTCTGTCTTCTCCTGCTCCTCCTTCTCTGTTTTTTTCCTTCTTCTTCTCCTCATTGTCTATCTTTTTCTTCTTCCTTTCCTTCTCCTTCTTTTAATGCTTTATGCAAATCCAGCTCATTTGATTCATTTGATTAATTTATGTTTTAGTGCTAAGCAAGGAGTGATCATGCAACTTGTTACTGTGTGCCCATAATACTGGGTTAACTTATCTTTCTTCTCCTTATCTATCTTCTTCTCCTCCTCCTCAATGTCTATCTTCTCTTTCTTCCCCTTCCCCTTCCCTTTCTCCTTTTCTTCCTTCTCCTTCTCCTTGTTGTCTATCTTCTCTTCTTTCTCCTTCTCCTTTTCTTCCTTCTCCACCTCATTGTCTTATCTTCCCCTTCTCCTTTTCTTCCTTCTCCTTCTCCTCATTGTCTATCTTCCCCTTCTCCTTATTCCCCTTCGATCTTCGCCTCCTTCTCCTTCTCTTAGTGCTTTAGACGAACCCTGTCCATTTGATTAATTTATGAGTTAGTATTAAGCAAGGAGCAATCGTGCAACTGGTTTCTCTTTGCCCCTCTCATTGAGTTGAGAAGATGCTTCTTGACATCCTTTTAACCAAGCCCTGATAACTGTTTTAGGACGATCCCGTGACTTGGATAAGATGGAAAAAAATTATCTGAGTACTAATGGACCCAAAAAGATGTGGTGGCTCAGTGCCTAAGATGCTGAGCTTGTCGATTGAAAGGTCGGCAGTTCAGCGGTTTGAATCCCTAGTGCCACGTAAACGGGGTGAGCTCCCGTTACTCATCCCACCTTCTGCCAACCTAGCAGTTCGAAAGCACGTAAAAGAACTGCAAGTAGAAAAATAGGGACCACCTTTGGTGGGAAGGGAACAGCGTTCCGTGCACCTTTGGCGTTGAGTCATGCCGGCCACCTGACCACAGAGACGTCTTTGGACAGCGATGGCTCTTTGGCTTTGAAACGGAGATGAGCACCGCCCCCTAGAGTCGGGAACGACTAGCACATATGTGCGAGGGGAACCTTTACCTTTTCTTAATGGACCCAATCACAGTACTTACTCCCCTCTTTTCAAAACGTATAATATCCAATCCGGTTAGATTCACATTATCCTTGGCTCACATCCATCCCATTTCCCCATTTTCAGCATGGCCAAATATAGGCTTTCTATCTCTCATTAGTGGAGACTTTTTTTTTTTTTCCGGTTCTGTTCCATGAGCAACAAACAGTCAGACAGACTCTCTCTATTGACCCTACAAAGAAGCCATGTGAGTTTTATACAGTAGAGCAGCCATTCAGCAACAAAGAAGGTTTAATAGATTTTTTTTTCTTTTCTTTTTTTATTTAAGAAAAGAAATCTTTTCCAAGAAAGGGCTATTCGGAATTGAAGCTGGAGTATTTTTGGCAAAACCCCTGAAAGATCCTGGAAATGAACAGCAGCCTTATGTTTAAATTTTGCATTCATGGCTCTGATTTACTGGAGGGAGCGGGGGGTGGGGGGGATGAAAGAATTACAAGCTCTGTAAGTATGAAACGGAGGGTCTAACCGTGTTGGCCCGATCCACTGTGAAGTCATTGCAAACAAAAAAAGAAGAAAAAATGAGCTCCCGACGATGTGTAACTTGGCAGGAGAACTTTCCGAAACCTAAAGTTTTCAAAGTCATTGATATTTGCCAGCAAGACATATGTCTTCCCTAAAGAAACTGAGATGGGGTATAGGAGATCATGGGAAACTTGCACCCCGTGTCACGGTGCTAGGAATGCTGATTTGAATCTCCATCCTGAGCAATGGGCAAAGTTAGTGGGGTGAACAGAGCTCTTTCTGTCTCGTTCAGGTGAATAGAATAGAATAGAATAGAATAGAATAGAATAGAATAGAATAGAATAGAATAGAATAGAATAGAATAGAGTAGTATAGATGTCAGCACTTCAAGCTACATTTACTCTAGTGCTGACATAGTGTAGTATAGAGTAGAGTAGAATAGAAATGAATAGAATAGAATAGAATAGAGTAGTATAGAGTAGTATAGATGTCAGCACTTCAAGCTACATTTACTCTAGTGCTGACATAGTGTAGTATAGAGTAGAGTAGAATAGAATTGAATAGAATTGAATATAGAGTAGAGTAGAGTAGAGAAGAATAGAATAGAATGGAATGGAATAGAATAGAATAGAATAGAATAGAATAGAATAGAGTAGTATAGAGTAGTATAGATGTCAGCACTTCAAGCTACATTTACTCTAGTGCTGACATAGTGTAGTATAGAGTAGAGTAGAATAGAAATGAATAGAATAGAATAGAATAGAGTAGTATAGAGTAGTATAGATGTCAGCACTTCAAGCTACATTTACTCTAGTGCTGACATAGTGTAGTATAGAGTAGAGTAGAATAGAATTGAATAGAATTGAATATAGAGTAGAGTAGAGTAGAGAAGAATAGAATAGAATAGAATAGAATAGAATAGAATAGAATAGAATAGAGTAGAGTAGAGTAGAGTAGAGTAGAGTAGAGTAGAGTAGAGTAGAGTAGAGTAGAGTAGTATAGAGTAGTATAGATGTCAGCACTTCAAGCTACATTTACTCTAGTGCTGACATAGTGTAGTATAGAGTAGAGTAGAATAGAAATGAATAGAATTGAATATAGAATAGAGTAGAGTAGAGTAGAGTAGAGTAGAGTAGAGTAGTGTAGAGAAGAATAGAATAGAATAGAATAGAATAGAATAGAATAGAATAGAATAGAATAGAATAGAATAGAATAGAATAGAATAGGAAGGGACCTTGGAGGTCTTCTAGTCCAACCCCCTGTTAAGGGAAAAAACCCTACACCACTTCAGACAAATGGTTATCCAAAATCTTCTTAAAAACTTCCTGTGTTGGAGCATTCACAATTTCTGGAGGCAAGATGTTCCGCTGGTTAATTGTTCTAACTGTCAGGAAGTTTCTCCTTAGTTCTAGGTTGCTTCTCTCCTTGATGAGTTTCCACCCATTGCTTCTTGTCCTACCCTCAGGTGCTTTGGAGAATAGCTTGACTCCCTCTTCTTTGTGGCAGCCGCTGAGATGTTGGAAGACTGCTATCATGTCTCCCCTAGTCCTTCTTTTCATCAAACTAGACACACACCCAGTTCCTGCAACCATTCCTCATTTGTTTTCACCTCCAGCCCCCTCATCATCTTTGTTGCTCTTCCCTGCACACTTTCTAGAGTCCCCACATCAGTTTTTACATCGTGGCAACCAGAACTGAATGCAATATTCCACGTGTGGCCTTACCAAGGCATTATAAAGTAGTATTAACACTTCACGTGATCTTGTTTCTATCCCTCTGTTTATGCAGTCTAGAACTAAGGGTGACATGATAGTCTTCCAATAAAGCAACAAAGATGAGAAAGTATTTGGAGATTAAATAGTACAATGAACAATTGAGGGAAGTAAGCATGTCTAGTCTAACAAAGAGAAGGACTAGGGTTGACATGATATCAGTCTTCCGGTATCTGTGGGGCTATCACAAAGAGAAAGGGGTCAACATATTCTCCAAGGCACCAGAGAGAAGGACAAGAAGCAACAGATGGAAAGTTATCATGGAAAGAAGCAACCTAGAACTAAGGAGAAATTTCCTGATAGTGAGGACAATCAATCAGTGGAACAACTTGCCTCCAGAAGTTGTGGGTGCTCCATCACTGGAGGTTTCCAAGAATAGATTGGACACCTTTTGTCCAGAATGCTATATGGTCTCCTGCTTGAGCAAGGGATTGGATTAGAAGATCTCCAAGGTCCTTTCCAACTTTGTTATTCTGATGTTCTGATGTAGATTACTCTGGGTAAACCCTGGAGTTTCAGTTAGCAGATAAACAAGATCTAATGGTTATGGTGTTTATCAAGAATCACATATATCTAGTTTTTGCCATAGAAGCCAGGTTGAGCTGAGAAGGATTGAGCCACGACTATAAAATTGTTGGAGAAAAGCTTAGGTTAGCTGTCTTGAACTCTTGGAATAACTTGCTCTAACCATTCATCTCAGCCTGTTGAGGCAGGTGCTCTCAGCGTGAGAAAATTGAACGCTCCTGGGTTGGGAAGATCACAAAGAGAAGCAGCTGAGTTGAAGTTCTCCTACCTTCAATGAGCACTGATTGAAGGACACATTCTGAAAAGTTCGGCACCCCATGCTGTGTTTCCAAAGAGCAGCCAGCAAGAGAAATAAATTTTAAATTAAAAAGTCATCCCTCTCTTACTTTCCAGGAGTCGTTTCCAGTGGCCTATTTCCTCCGCTCGATTTCCATTTTTAGAACAAGCTCTTTCTTCTTTTACTCCACTGAGGACCTGCTGTTTTCAATCTACGGGTTTTTATTTAAAATAAGAGCCGTCTGGAGCCCTTTGGTAGTGGGAGGGAGGGGAGGGAGATTCCTGGAAACTGCAAGATGAGAGAGATTATCTGAATGAGGAAGGAAAAAAAATCTGCCAGTAGAGAATGTGGAATTTTATCACTCTTTGTCCTTTCAGATTGCCTCTTTCTCTCTCTCTCTCTTGTGGGCATCCACACTTTATTTGGGTCCCAAAGAATAAAAAAATCAATCCATTCTTATAAAAATTACAATAAAAACTTTATTTACCATAGGAACTAGCTAGGAACTGTCTCGTAAAAGAGAAAGTGTTTTATTAGGTGCCAATTTCTGTACTGTGCTGAAGCTGGCACGGGAGGCAACTTCCTTCTTCAGTTAAGGCTGAGTTTCTCAGTTTTTGGACAGCCAATTCATTCGCCCTCTAATTGATTTGCTATCACATCCTGATTTCAGCTGAATGTCCTGGGGATGACTTGACATATCGCCTTCCTTCTTCCACCTCTTTTCATTACAGTCCCCGAGCTTCTGTTGTGTTGCAAACTGATCACTTCCCAATTCAGTGCTGATCCCTTCCTGCAGGTCATTCCAGCATTGTGTGGTATCGATTTCACAGCAAATTAACTGAGTCTATATCTTGTGTTAACTCTTGCAGGACCGAAAGCAGAGGCAATCCTAAACCTCTCTGTTGCAACCGAGCGGAGTCCCTTCTTTGCAACATAAAACAGCCCTTCGTCTACAAAGAGTGCTCCGGAGGAACTGAGGATGGCCCTCTCCGCATGGGTCATGGCCTCGGTGGCCATCTTTCTGTTCCATCAAGATGCTAGTGGTGGACTCATCAACAGAATTATTCGGCAGAAGAGGGAAACGGGAATCAACGTGACGCTGCCGGAGGATAATCAACCCGTGGTCTTCAACCACGTCTACAATATTAAAGTCCCTGAGGGCTCCCTTTGCTCTGTGGACTTGGACCCTCCCAGTGGAGACTCAGAATTCAAACTTCCATCCGAGCCAGGCAAACACTATCAGGAGCACACATTGAATGAAGACAATCAGATTGTGTTCACACACCGGATCAATATCCCGCGACGGGCTTGTGGTTGTGCGGCGGCCCCTGATATCAAGGACTACTAAGCCGACTGGAAGAATTGGAAGAGCTGGTATCTTCTCTGCAGGAACAGTGTGGCAGTGGGTCAGGGTGCTGTTCCAGTGCTCAAACAGCGAAAGGTAAGTTAGGAGAACCCAGAAGCAAAGTGGGATGGAATAAAAGAGAAGCACTAGGATTCCCAAACAAAGAAACAGAAAAACTAGAATTCCCAAACAAAGAAATAGAACTAGAATTCCCAAACAAAGAAATAGAACTAGAATTCCCAAACAAAAAAATGGAAGAACTAGAATTCCCAAACAAAGAAATGGAAGAACTAGAATTCCCAAATATTTCTCCTTTGAACCTTTTGTGGTAGACCACATTGTGTTCATGTTCCATTTGTATTTAAATCCCCTCCCTACATTCCTTTCAAAGTTGAGAAATAAATCAATAAATTTAAAAGGCATCAATAATTTTGTTTCCTGAAGATATTCAAAACTATATACACACCCGCACACATACACAGTCCAACAAAATCATTCTGAACGGTCTTATCCCAATTTAAGCGTATACAATAAAATGAATATACACATACACAGTGCAACAAAATCATTCTGAACTGTCTTATCCCAATTTAAGCGTATACAATAAAATGAATATGTTGTTTAGCTTATAGCTGGAGAACTACACTTGATTATTAAAGCTAAAGCCCCCAGTAAGATTTGCCACCAAGAATGTAGAAAAGGGAGTTTTTCATCTTCTTTCATATCATTATGTCCAGCTCTGCATTTCTTACAGACATGCTGAAAGATTTCCTTGATTTATTGATCAAGAGGCACGAAGATCTTATAGGCCATATGTGGCCTGTTGACCAACAATCTCTTACAGGTTGGGTTGTTCATCAAGGATTTGATTGTCTCCATCAGGCAAAGTACATTTTTTAAAAAGCGAGACAGTTCTAGAACATTCCATTTCAGCACCCTGGACAGCACTGCACGTATTGGCCTGGTTCCTGACTGGCATTCAGAAACCATGTCCCAAAGGTGCTTTTTCAGGAGGAAACTGGACTTTCTTGCTGTTTCTTTCTTTGAAGATGTTTCGCTTTTCATCCAAGAAGCTTCTTCATCTCTGACAGGATAGTGGGGAATGGAAGGGTTTGTATTCCTTGCAGAATGCGTCGTTTGCATCCCTTTAGAGCAGGCCTGTCAAACTCCTGGCCCACGGGCCAGATGCATCATGTCCTGGCCACTCCCACGCCCAGTTTAGCGAAAGGGGAAAAAGTCCCAATATGTCACGTGATGCTGACATGACAACATGAGTTTGACATCCCTGTTTTAGAGGGTTGTTGAAGCACCAGCTCAAGGCTTTACTCAGCCTTTCATCCTTCCAAGGTCAGTAAAATGAGGACCCAGATTGTTGGGGGGGGGCAATATGCTGACTCTGTCCTTCCTTCCTTCCCTCCTTCCTTCTTCCTTCCTCCCTCCCTCCCTCTGTCCGCCCCTCTCTCCCTCCCTCCCTTCTTTCTTTCCTTGCCATGGTGGTGCAGTGGTTAGAATGCAGTATTTCAGGCTAACTCAGCAGTTCGATTCTCACCAGCTCAAGGTTGCCTCAGCCTTCTATCTTTTCAAGGTCAGTAAAATGAGGATCCAGATTGTTGGGGGCAAGAGGCTGACTCTGTAAACCAGAGAGAGCTGCAAAGCACTATGAAGCAGTATATAAGTCTAAGTGCTATTTTATTTGGACAGGTACCATCGAGGCTACTCCCTACTGCAGTGGACGTGGAAACTACAGCAACGACATTTGTGGCTGCATCTGCGAACAGGGATGGAAAGGACCAAATTGCTCAGAACCAGAATGCCCACAGAACTGCAATGAAAGGGGCCAGTGTATCAATGGCCAATGTATTTGTGATTATGGTTACACCGGCTATGATTGTGGAGAGCTGGCCTGTCCCGGGGACTGCAACGATCAAGGCAAATGCGTGGATGGGAAATGTGTGTGCTTCGATGGTTACGCTGGTGATGACTGCAGCCTTGAGGTCTGCTTGGTGCCCTGCAGTGAGTATGGCAGTTGTGTGAATGGACAATGCATCTGCATGGAAGGTTTCACTGGGGTGGACTGCAGCCAGCCCCTTTGCCTTAACAACTGTAATAATCGGGGGCGTTGTGTGGAAGAAGAGTGTGTGTGTGATGAAGGATACACTGGAGAGGACTGCAGTGAGCTCATTTGCCCCAACGATTGCTATGACCGGGGCCGTTGCATCAACGGCACCTGCTACTGTGAAACTGGGTTCACTGGTGAGGACTGTGGGGAGCTGGCCTGTCCAAATGACTGTCACCATAACGGTCGCTGCGAGAACGGTGTATGCGTATGCGATGAAGGATTCACTGGAGATGACTGTTCCCTACGGAGGTGTCCCAACGACTGTCACAAACAGGGAAGCTGCGTTGATGGGCAATGCGTGTGCAATGAAGGCTTCTTGGGACCAGACTGTGGGGAGGTGAGGTGTCTCAATGACTGCCACAACCGGGGGCAGTGCGTGAATGGCCAGTGTGTGTGTGATGAAGCCTTCATGGGGGAGGATTGTAGTGAACTAAGATGCCCCAAGGATTGCAACAACCATGGCCAGTGTGTTGACGGGAAATGTCAGTGTGATGAGGGTTACATGGGGGAAGATTGCGGGGATCTGAGATGCCTCCATGACTGCCACAACCGTGGCCAATGTGTCAAAGGGCAGTGTGTATGCGACGAAGGCTTTGTGGGTGAGGATTGTAGCCAGCGCAGGTGTCCCAATGATTGCCACAAGCGGGGGAAATGTGTAGATGGCCAGTGTGTATGTGAAGAAGCTTTCACTGGGCTTGATTGCAATGAACTGCGGTGCCCCAATGACTGCAATGACCACGGGCGCTGTGTTGATGGGCAATGCATATGTGACGAAGGGTACACCGCTGAAGACTGCTCAGAACTGACCTGTCCTCAGGACTGCAACCGTCGTGGACGCTGTGTCAACGGGGTCTGTGAATGCAACGAAGGCTTCCTTGGGGAGGACTGTGGGGAGCTAGCTTGCATCAACAACTGCAACAACCGAGGCCGTTGTCTGAATGGACAGTGCGTTTGCGACGAGGGCTTCACCGGCGTAGACTGTGGTCAACGGAAATGCCCGGATGACTGCAACAACAGAGGCCAGTGCATTGATGGTGTGTGTCTATGTGATGAAGGATATGAAGGCCCTGCTTGTGCTGAACAGTCCTGCCCCAACAATTGCAATGATCTTGGTCACTGTGTAGCCGGACGATGTGTCTGTGAAGAAGGCTTCGTAGGAGCTGACTGTTCAGATGGTAAGTTCTACCGAATCACAGAGTTGAAAGGATGCATGGACAATCTAGACGTGAATCCCTTGTGCAGTTCCTACAATCTTCATCTAACACGTTCATACCATCTTGAGAATAATGGCACTTGTAGACAAATACATCACCTTGGGGATAAGAGGGCTGATAACTCTACGTTTATAAATCCAATTGGTAGATTCCATAATTTTTTGCTGGATCCATAGGTCAGTCTTTCATAAGTTGGGTTTTAGTTCTAGAAAGACAAGTTCCTTTGCTTCTTGGACTTCTCAGATGACCTTTTTTAAAATTTCTTCTTTAAATCTTCATGACAGTATCTCCTCCAAAGGATTTGCTGGTTACAGAAGTGACAGATAAGACCATTAACTTGGAATGGGCGAATGAAAATGTCGTCAATGAATATCTCATCAGCTACATTCCAACCAGTACTGATGGCTTAGAACTTCAGTTCCGGGTACCTGGAAACAAAACATCAGCCACCATCCGGGAGCTGGAACCTGGTGTGGAATATTTCATCCGTGTTTTTGCCATCCTAAGGAACAAAAAAAGCATCCCAATTAATGCCCGGATTGCTACTTGTAAGTACTTTAAAGGCCAAGTGAGTAATTTGCCTGAAGTAACTGTTGGTAGAGGACATTGAGCAGCTCAAAAATTGACATCCAACACAAGCTAGTCTTAAACTAGCTTTTAGGTGTGGTTCATATTGACATCTTCACCCTACTTAATATAACCATGATTTACCAAATGATCCCACTTATAACAGAATAACAGAATTGGAAGAGACTTTGGAGGTCTTCTAGTCAACCCCCGCCCCCCGCTCAAGCAGGAGACCTTATACCATTTCAGACAAATGGTTGTCCAACCTCTTTTTAAAGACCTCCAGTGTTGGAACACCCATGACTTCTGAAGGCAAGCCGTTAAGCTGGTTAATAGTTCTCACAGTCAGGAAATTTCTCCTTAGTTCTAGGTTGCTTCTCTCCTTGATTAGTTTCCATCTGTTGCTTCTTGTCCTGCCCTCAGGTGCTTTGGAGAATAAGTTGACCCCCTCTTCTTTGGGGCAGCTCCTCAAATATTGAAAGACTGCTATCATGTCTCCCCTAGTCCTTCTTTTCATTAAACTAGACATACGAAAGGGTAAAGATATTTTTAAAAAATCATTTGGATCTGTGCTGAAATGCTCTCCTTTCCTTCTGCTTCTGGATTTCAGACTTGCCTGCCCCCGATGGCTTGAAGTTCAAATCAATTAAAGAGACTTCCGTGGATGTTGAATGGGATGCCTTTAATTTCCCTTTCCATGGCTGGGAGATTATCTTTAGAAGCATGGTAAGAAGGATTTCTCGTCCAATAAGGGATGCGGTGGCTCAGTGCCTAAGATGCTGAGTTTGTCGATCGAAAGGTCGGCAGTTCAGTGGTTTGAATCCCTAGTGCCGCATAACGGGGTGAGCTCCCATGACTTGTCCCAGCTTCTGCCAACCTAGCAGTTCGAAAGCACGTAAAAAATGCAAGTAGAAAAATAGGGACCACCTTTGGTGGGAAGGTAACAGCGTTCCGTGCGCCTTTGGCATTGAGTCATGCCGGCCACATGACCACGGAGACGTCTTCGGACAGCGCTGGCTCGTTGGCTTTGAAATGGAGATGAGCACCACCCCCTAGAGTCAGGAACGTCTAGCACATATGTGCGAGGGGAACCTTTACCTTTAAGAAGGATTTTGCCCTGGGATATCCTGCTTTCCTTTTCTGCCTACCTTCCTATTTTCTCATTTCGATGCTTTGCGTTGCAGAAAGAGGAAGAGAATGGGGCCATCCGAAGCAGTCTGAAGAGCCCTCAGACAACCTACCAACAACAAGGACTTGCACCAGGACAACAGTACAATGTGTCTCTGGTTGTCGTGAAGAATGAGATCAGGGGACCTGCTGTTTCAAAAATCGTGACCACAAGTAAGTAATCATTATCAGGGGTGGGCTGCTGGGGGTTCGCAGGGGTTCGGGAGAACCTCTAGCTAAGATTCTGTGCAGTTCGGAGAACCCCCAAATCTCACTCCTGGCTGTCCCCACCCACCCCACCCCTCCCCTCCCCGGAGGATTTGTGGATTTTCTTTCAACAAAATTATCAGGGTTCCAAGTAACATCCCCAATGAAAGAAGACTCCCAGGCTTGAATTTCCTCAAAGTTACATTTTATTAGTTACATCCGGAAAAACCCGAATCTGAAAGTTTCCAGTTTTTCCCCACCCAAGTGAAAGTTCAAGTCCCTGCCCAGCATCCTCATGTCCATCACATAGTCCAATCATCCACCGTCCAAACTGAAGACATTCCCGAGTCATCCAACTCCAGGTGCCAGGGCAATGTGTCCTTGACTCTCTGAAAAGCGAATGCTATTTTGACTACATATCATCTACACTCTTGCAATCCCCCCTCCCATTTTCCTACAGAAGATGTGGCAGGCCTGAAGGCCCAAACGTAAAAGATGGCTTCCAGATCTGACAGAAATCTTGTTCCACTGCGCAACCCTTTTCCAATTCTTTTTTTTTTTTTTAAATGATGGGATTGTTCTGTATTCAGGGACGTTAAATCTTTGCCTTGTCTTGTTTTTTTTCTCCCAAGAACTGGATGCTCCCAGCCAGATTGAAGCAAAGGATGTTACAGACACTACCGTCCTCATAACGTGGTTCAGACCCTTAGCTGAGATTGACGGACTTGAGCTGACTTACGGGCCCAAGGATACCCCAGGAGACCGCACCTCCATTGACCTCTCCGAAGACGAAAGCCAGTATTCCATTGGAAATCTGAAGCCACACGTGGAATATGAAGTGACCCTTGTGTCTCGGCGTGGACTTATGACGAGTGACCCCATCACTGAAACTTTTGTCACAGGTAGGAAAAATTTTGCCATTGTTTTTGAGTACGTTTCTCCTAGCTCTCAGACTTTGAAGAATGATGTTGGTGATTTATGGATCTGGACCATTAAAAATCTCGAAGCCTGACACATTGAGATTCATTCTAAGTCAGGAGTCCCCAATCCCCAGTCCGTGAACCGGCACCAGTCCGCAGCATGCCAGAAACTGGGCCATGCAAACAAGTGACTTCCCATCCATGGGATGCAGGCAGCACATGAAACCGTGCCCCCTTTGGTCCATGGAAAAACCTGTCTCCACGGATATTCATGCTGGGCAGAAGCTGGGACAAGAACAAGAGCTCACCCATCACACAGTGCTTTGGTCTCAAACTGCCGACCTTCTGATCAACAAGTCCAGCATCTTAGCAGCTACAGGATGTCCATAATTTTTTTTGGAAGTGATAGCTAATATAGTCACCTACAATGTCTTAACAAAACTTAAGTGTTGTAGAGGATAAGGAAGAGGACTTCGATGGAGGTCCATGGCTAAGACAACAAGCCGTAAAACATTTTCATGTCCAGAACATTAACTGATTAACAGAGTTGGAAGGGACCTTGTAGGTCATCTAGTCCAACCCCCTGCCCAAGCAGGAGACCCTACACCATATCTGACAAATGGCAGTCCAGTTCCTTTGGCTGATCGTTCCCACTGTCAGAAAATTTCTCCTTATTTCTAGGTTGAATCAGTTTCCATCCATTATTCCTTGTGTGGCCTTCGGGTGCATTGGAGAATAGCTTGACCCCCTTCTCTCTGTGGCAGCCCCTCAAAAATTGGAAGACTGCTATCCTGTCTCCCCTGGTCCTTCTCTTCACTAGACCAGCCATGCCCAGTTCCTGCAACCGTTCATCGTATGTTTTAGCCTCCAGTCTCCTAATCATCCTGGTTGCTCTTCTCTGCACTTTTTCTAGAGTCTCCACATCTTTTTTATAGTGTGGTGACCAAAACTGGATGCAGTACTCTAGGTGTGGTCTTACTAAGGCTTTGTAGAGTGGTATTAGTACCTCCCTTGATCTTGATTGAATCCCTCTGTTCATGCAATTTAGGATTGGGTTGGCTTTTTTGGCTGCTGCCGCATAATGTGGCTCATATTTAACTGGTTGTCCACTAAGACTCTCAAATCCAGATAATGTTCAGAAGAAGCTTAGGCAGAGATCTTTCTGATCCATTGAACTATAAGGAGCATAATCAGACTTCTACATTCTGTTATCCTAGCCAGCTTCAATAAAAGTAGTTTTAGCTTTCCTCTGGAGTTTATTTCATGGTTTGGGGCTGACACGTACACATCTGTGTCCCTGATGTTCACAGAGAACATTAGATTTCTTTCTCTCTTTCTCCCCAGATCTGGATGCTCCCCAAAATCTGAGGCGCATTTCTCAGACGGACCGCACAATCACTCTGGAGTGGAAAAACAGCCAAGCAATGCCAGATGCCTACAGGATCAAATACGCCCCTCTCTCTGGTGGAGATCACGCTGAGGTCACCGTGCCCAGAAGCAACCAGGCCACCTCCAAAGTTACACTCTCTGGTAGGACTTCAGGAAATCCCTTGAAGCTACTTTTCTACAGATGCCAACCTACAATAGTGGCCGAAATTGTGGAAACCTTTTTGGGGAAAGTGTATTTTCTAAAACTAGCTAATAATACCACTTTTGGGGTGGAGTAGTACCATAAAATTATATATCAATGGAAAGGTAATTTAATCAAGAATGTAATGCAATCGCTTTTAGGGAGGATTTGCTATTAGAATAGCAGTTGCAGTATAAAGAAGAAAAGTGAAACACGTAGAAAAAATGAGATATACAAAAATGATCCCCATGTCGGTTAATACTTAGTTGGGTAACATTTAGCATGAATGACGGCCTTACAATGTCTTCCCATGGAGTGAACCAAGTATTTGAGTTCTGCAGCTGTTATCATGTGAAACCAAGATTGAAGGATGGCTTCTGTTAACTGGGTTTTATTGCTGGGTCGCTTCTAACTAACCAGTTTCTTTAGTCGGCTCCATAGATTTCCAATTGGGTGAAGGTCTATTCCCAGGCCAATCCAGCAGTGAAATAGGATTATCTTGAAACTCCAAAAAAAAAAGTGGTGTTATTAGCCATCACACCTCAAAAATACACTTTTCCCAAAAGGTTTCCACAAGTTTGGCCACTACTGTAAATCCATTCATCCATTGAGGGCAGGCAACTGAGGAATGTTCTTTTCATCACATGATGGAATAGTCCTTCACCAACTTGTCCATTTAATGAGATCAAAAGGAATGTATCCGTTTCTTTTGGCGAGAAGCACTCATGGACCATCTACAGGTAGTCCTCAACTTACGACAGCTTGTTTAGTGACCATTCAAAGTTACAACGGCACTGAAAAAAAGGGAGTTAAGGCCGTTTTTTCACACTTACGACCGTCGCAGCCTCATCATGGTCACCTGATCAAAATACAGACCCTTGGCAACTGACTCATATTTATGAGGGTTGCAGTGTCCCGGGGTCATGGGATCCCTTTTTGCGACCTTCTGACAAGCAAAGTCAATGGGGAAAGACAGATCCACTTAACAACTGTGAGACTCAGTTAACAACTGCAGTGATTCACTTAGCAACGATGGCACAACAGACTGTAAAGTGAGGCAAAATTCACGTAGCAAATGTTTCGCTTAGGAACAAAAATGTTGAGGTCAGTTGCAATTGTAAGGTGAGGAGTACCTGTATAATACAGGGTCTTCAACATTTTTTGGAATGATTGCCGAAGACAAAGTGTTATTCTCTTTTTGGTGCCAGGTTACTGAAACTCGCTTAACTGAAGTCTGCATATTTCAAGATTTTGGGGAAGGGAAGACTGTTTATTAGAAGCAATATTAATAATTATCCATTCTTTTAAGGCCTGAGACCGGGAACAGAATACGGCATCGGAGTAACTTCAGTGAAAGAGGACAAAGAGAGTTTCCCTTCCACCATCAATGCTGGAACCGGTAAGAAATATCCATTCATTATGGGGAGAGGATGAAAGGAAATAATCTGTGAAGGATCTGGAGGCTTAGTTAGGACAATTTATTGAATCTAATTTAGCGAGCTAAAATAGACTTTGTCTGGACTGTAACCAGTTTTAGGCACCAAAAGGAAATGTTGGACTAGGATGTGGGGTCGAAAAGTGGCCAAAAGGATGGTTTTTGGTGATGTCATTAAGCATGTTACCTAGTTGGGTAATGAAAGAAAACTCAAGCTCAGAGTGCACCAAGGACCCACAGTCCTTTTCCTCCTCCTCCTCCTCCTCCTCCTCCTCCTCCTCCTCCTCCTCCTCCTCCTCCTCCTCTTCCTCTTGCCCCCCAGCCTCTGGCTTTTCCTACTCCTCCCTCCTCCTTTTCCTCGTCCCTTCTAGCACTGATGATGTTACCTATTTGGGTCATGAAACATCTACAAGAAAACAACCAAGCTCAGAGAGCACCAAGGACCCACAGTCCTGCCCTCCTCTCCTCCTCTTCTGTCTCCTTCTCCTTCTCTTCCTCCTCCCCACAAGCCCCATTCCCTTCTAGCACTGATGATGCTACCTAGTTGGGTCATGAAACATCTGCAAGAAAACCACCAAGCTCAGAGAACACAAGGACCTCACAGTTCAACCCTGAGCTACAAATATTCTTTTTTTTTTTTAATTTGATTTATATGCCGCCCTTCTCCGGAGACTCAGGGTGGCTTACAGTGCGCTAAGCAATAGCCTTCATCCTTTTGTATATTTATACAAAGTCAGCTTATTGCCCCCACAAACTGGGTCCTCATTTCACCTACCCTAGAAAGGATGGAAGGCTGAGTCAACCTTGAGCCTGGCGAGATTCGAACCTGCAGTAATTGCAGGCAGTTGGTCTTAATAACGGGGTGCTTTAGACCACTGTACTACCAAGGCTCTTCTTTTGATAGCACAAGCTTCCTTTGCTCCTTAGCCAGTCCAGACATAAATTCTAAAAACCTGGACAAGAGCTCTCTAAACTTCAATGCTCCACCCTTTCCCTTTGATACTGCTGTGAATGAGATGGAGAACATCTCATTCACAGTAGTTTGACCTTCTGTCATACCGTCCATTCAAGCGTAGCTCTTTGAAGTCTTTTATCTGCTGCGTAGAACGGGGAATATCGATGACAGATACTCATCCCAAGCTCTGAGCAAGAAAGGTAGCATGCACCGTGGAGTTCTTTCAGGAAGGCTTGAAGATAATTAAACACACATTTATCCTCTTTCTTCTGCTTAACGTCTGTTCTCAAGACTTGGCAGCAGCAGCAAAAAATTTCGATCCACAGCTGTGTGGGCAAATGAATGATGTTTCCATGCTTTTCATTAAGGTTACCCAAACCTTCCTCCTCCTTCCTCCCCCCCTCTTTTTCTTTTTTTCTTTTTTTCTTCTCTTTGACATAATTCACAAAACTGGCCCAGGGGCTCCAATTAAGAGACTTTTTTCTGATTGGTCAAAAGATAATTATAGGGGGAAACGCATTGGACAGCTCAAAAAAAGTGAGCCAAACCAGCAAAAATTGGTGGAAAGAAAAGAAAGAGACGGAACTTGGTAGAGTTGCGTTGCTGAGCCAGAGTTAAGCCTGAACATGCAGTTAAGACCAAAAAAAAGGACTTAAATCAGCTTTTCCCCTCCACCCTTAATTTGGAGTGGGAAAGGGAAAAGAGACAACTGGGACCTGAACAGGAAATGCACATCTTCTTCCCACATAAAGGCCACCTTCTAAGAGTCATTTGGATGGAGCTAAATGTCATCGGTCCAGTTGTGGCTAACCATGAAGTGTCCATGAGCCAGTTTTGAGCTCGTGGACTTTCATTTCCTCACCACTGTCTCTTGCGTAAGAGAACATGTTCCATATGGTGCACATAATGGGGGGAACCAAAATCACAGGATGCTCGCCGTGGGTTTCCTGATGGATTTATTTTCCTGGGCAGCCTGTGTAGTTTCAACCGTTCAATGTGTCCGACTCTTGGAGACTTTATAGGCCAGTGTTCTCCAGGTCACCTTATCAAACATAGCTTCTTTCGATTGTTGGATGCTCGTTTTTGTCCAAGTTCTGATGTTATCAACCCAGGGTGACTGTGATGACCCAGGGCACGGCACAGAGATAACACAGGCACCTGGCAGTTCAAAACACCCCTTTATTGCTCCAAATTTCCCCCAAACGTTCCCACGTTTCCAGCCAGTCCCAGAGCAAAGTGATGACAAACATCCACACACACCTCAAGCAGCCTCTCGCTGCAAATAATCCAGCCCAGCGCTGTGTACACCAAGGCTGCAAAGCAGTAAATCCACAAGGGCAAATCAGGGAGTTCAGGAAGCAAAGGATCCAGGTAATTAATCCAGAAAGCCAGATAGAATGCAAGGCATCCAGGAAAGTTCAAGCGTCAGCATTCAACACTTCAGGAATTCAGCGTTCAAACGCCCCTCCCCACAGCATCTCCTTAAGTCTCACTGTGAAGTGATATATAAGTCTAAGTGCTATTGCTGTTGCTCTATCCATCCATCCATATCTATCTATCTATCTATCTATCTATCTATCTATCTATCTATCTATCTATCTATCTTTGAGCTCGTGGACTTTCATTTCCTCACCACTGTCTCTTGCGTAAGAGAACATGTTCCATATGGTGCACATAATGGGGGGAACCAAAATCACAGGATGCTCGCCGTGGGTTTCCTGATGGATTTATTTTCCTGGGCAGCCTGTGTAGTTTCAACCGTTCAATGTGTCCGACTCTTGGAGACTTTATAGGCCAGTGTTCTCCAGGTCACCTTATCAAACATAGCTTCTTTCGATTGTTGGATGCTCGTTTTTGTCCAAGTTCTGATGTTATCAACCCAGGGTGACTGTGATGACCCAGGGCACGGCACAGAGATAACACAGGCACCTGGCAGTTCAAAACACCCCTTTATTGCTCCAAATTTCCCCCAAACGTTCCCACGTTTCCAGCCAGTCCCAGAGCAAAGTGATGACAAACATCCACACACACCTCAAGCAGCCTCTCGCTGCAAATAATCCAGCCCAGCGCTGTGTACACCAAGGCTGCAAAGCAGTAAATCCACAAGGGCAAATCAGGGAGTTCAGGAAGCAAAGGATCCAGGTAATTAATCCAGAAAGCCAGATAGAATGCAAGGCATCCAGGAAAGTTCAAGCGTCAGCATTCAACACTTCAGGAATTCAGCGTTCAAACGCCCCTCCCCACAGCATCTCCTTAAGTCTCACTGTGAAGTGATATATAAGTCTAAGTGCTATTGCTGTTGCTCTATCCATCCATCCATATCTATCTATCTATCTATCTATCTATCTATCTATCTATCTATCTATCTATCTATCTATCCTGACTATAAACCGCTTAGAGGGCTGTAAAGCACCGTGAAGCAGTATATAAGTCTAAATGCTACTTCTGTTGCTTGCTTGCTTGCTTCCTACCCTCCTTTCCTTCTTTCTCTCCCTCCCTTTTCTCCTTCCTTTCTTCCTTCCTTCCTTCCCATGGTGGTGCAGTGATTAAAATGCACTATTGCAGGCTAACTCTACCCACAGCCTGGAGTTCCATCCTGAGCAGCTCAAGGTTGACTCAGCCTTCCATCTTTCCCAGGTGGGTTAAATGAGGACCCAGATTGTTAGAGAGGGCAGTAAAACACAGTTAAGTGGTATATAAGTCTAAATGCTATTGCTATTATAACTTCGGTCACTAAACTAATTATTGTAAGTCGAGGATTACCTGTATATGCAATAATGTAGGCCAGCGGCCCAGTTCAAAGGCATCAATTCTTCTTTGATCAGCTGTTCTTGGTGTCCAATTCTCACACTCATGATTATAAAGAAGATTCTAACCTATAGCAGGGGTCTCCAACCTTGGCAACCTCAAGACTTGTGGACTTCAACTCCCAGAATTCCTCAGTCAGAAAAGGTTGGAGACCCCTGACCTTTTCCTTTACAGGGTCTTAAAAGTAATAATAATAAAAAAACACCCTTTCTTCTCACACATAGATCTGGATAGTCCCAAGGACTTGGAAATCATTGACCTTACCGAAACGGCTTTCACTGTACGTTGGAAGAGACCCTTGGCCAAAATCGATCATTACCGCCTTACTTACGTCACCCCGTTGGGGAAGAAGAATGAAATTGAGATTCCCGCGGATAGCACATCCTACATCCTCCGGTCACTCGACGCTGGGACGGAATACACCATCATTCTCGTGGCTGAGAAAGGCCGACTCAAGAGTAAACCTTCCACAGTCACTGGTTCTACAGGTAGGTGAGATTCTTTGTCCTCACATGCACTGGTAGATCTGCTATTCATCTACTTTTCTCTGGAGCAGAATCTATGGTAACCCCAAAATAGAGCCTTGATATTACAGTGGTTTAATGCACCCTGTTATTAACACAGCTGCCTGCAATTTACTGCTGGTTCGAATCTCTCCAAGGCTCAAGGTTGACTCAGCCTTCCATCCTTTCTAAGGTAGGTGAAATGAGGACCCAGATTGTGGGGGCAATAAGCTGACTTTGTATAAAATATACAAAAGGATGAAGGCTATTGCTTAACGCATTGTAAGCCACCCTGAGTCTCCGGAGAAGGGCGGCATATAAATCAAATTAAAAAAAAAATTAAAAAAATAGAAGGAGTGTAGAAGAGGTTGTAGAAAAAATGGTTTTAAAAGTAAAAAAAAAAAAACTTAGCCACACCCACCCAGTCACATTAACCCACCACCACCACCAAGCCACGCCCACAGAACCGGTAGTAACAAATTTTAGATTTCGCCACTGCCTTGGAGGTCTTCTAGCCCACCCCCCTGGTCAAGCAGGAGACCCAATACTCGTTCCAGACAAATGACTACCCAACTATCTTCTTGAAAACCGCCAGTGATGGCGCATCCACAGCTTCTAGTGGCAAGCTGTTCCACCGGTTCATTGTCCTCACTGTTAGGAAGATTCTTCCTTAATTCCAGGTTGCTTCTCTCCTGGATTAGTTTCCCGTCCAGTGTTTCTTGTCTGAGTTCTACAAAGCATCGAGAAGGAAAGGTTTCTTTTAAATGACTTTCCCGGACCCGAATCCGAAACGGTATATTCCATTAAAAGAAAAAAAAAACAGATGAAAGAAAGATTTGGATGCGTGCAGGAGGTTTATAGCCAAGGGAAGAGTTTGGAGGAGAAAACATACAAGCCGTTATAACCACACACCTAGAGAGTTGTCAAAGCGGGGAATAGGCGTCCCTTCTTTTCCATCGCCTTTTCACCCCCCAGTCATGTCCTTTTTAGGTGAAGAAGATCCGGATTAATTTTCTTTTTAATGGGCACAAACTTTTTAAAGAGCTTGCTTGCTTTCCAGATGGAGAGATGTGGCACAGAGCGCTCTAATCTTTACAGAAGGAGCTGTTTCTACATACACACACACACACAAACAAACACACAATTTGAATGCCAACGGTAGAAGAACTGACTTCAGTTTCCTTTCTATGATCTAGCTTAAACTTCAGCTCAATCTTCTTTCTTTCTTTCTTTCTTTTCTTTCTTTTCTTTCTCTTTCTTTCTTTCTTTCTTTCTTTCTTTCTTTCTTTCTTTCTTTCTTTCTCTTTCTTTCTTTCTTCCTGCCTGCCTTCCTGCCTTCCTTCCTACCTGCCTGTCTGCCTGCCTTCTTTTCTTCCTTCCTTCCTGCCTGCCTTTTCTTCCTGCCTTCCTTCCTGCCTGCCTGCCTTCTTTTCTTCCTTCCTTCCTTCCCTCCCCTCCCCTCCCCTTCTTTTTCTTTTTTTCCTTCTCCTCCTCCTTTTCCTTCTCCTCCTCCTCCTCCTCCTCCCTCCTCCTCCTCACTGTATGCCAGACAGCCTATCCTGTGTCCTCTAGAGTAACCTGCTGCTCTGTCCAGATACTGTCCTAACATCTGGATTAGACAAAAGAGGTGTTAGCTGATGTATCTGGCTTCTCTACATAAGGCAGGAAGAGCCCATTCCTTCCTTAGATTTAAGATAAAAACCATTTTTTCTGGCTAGATCTGCGCAGTCAGCGATTAAGCAGACGGGGAATGAAAAAACAGTTGTGCTTCCAAGAAAAATCCCAGGGGTAACACGACTATTAGAGCTCTGTCCATCCCTCCTTGGCATAGTAGGCTCATTATTACAATACCACAACCACTTGGAACGAGTGAGCAGAGCACTGCATGGTTAACGGCTGCCCCCAAAGCAGTGGGGAACCCCCCCCCAAAAGCAGAAGCAAAACCCAGGGCCATCGAGAGGATTATTAAGTGCTGGAACCAGACTAATATGGGCTCCCTCACCCACACATGGACACATAAATCAATAACGTCATAATTGTACATTTATTAATTACTACATTCAAAGATACTTGCAAATATATTAAAAAGAGGGCAGGTACTTCTGTAAAAGATAATAAAAACAGTAAGTATATAAACAATAATGAAGCACTGTACATAAGCAATGGATTTAATACTAGATTGATTACAAGCTCATAACGGTTATTATAGTTGAGATGCAACGGCATTTATATTCTGCTAAACGAAGGTGCTTTCCTAGCCTTTTTCCCGGCAAAATTTGCAAATCGCATCATCAAAATCAATTGTTTTTGCAAAATTTTCCCCTTCATGGGCCTCATTTTGAGCTCCATGGGCCCCGGAACAATGTACCAGCTGCCCCCCTTCTCCTCAGGCGTGGTGAAACCCCAAAAGACCTGATGAAATGCTTGTAAAAAATGGACTTTGGCAGAAGCCAAGTCTCCCGATTGCTTTTATTGATGCCGTAACTTAATATCAGGTGTAGATTCGCCTTCTCGTCCCACGTTGCCAAGGCATCGCGAGGAAACCTGATGCTGGGTACTCTCTTGGATGCAGCCTTGTGCTTCTGAAGTAGAGATGGGTTTATAAATACGGATGCAGTGGCTCAGTGGCTAAGGCGCTGAACTTGTCGATTGAAAGGTCGGCAGTTCGGCGGTTCGAATCCCTAGTGCCGCGTAACGGGGTGAGCTCCCGTGACTTAGTTCCAGCTTCTGCCAACCTAGCAGTTCGAAAGCACGTAAAAAAATGCAAATAGAAAAATAGGGACCACCTTTGGTGGGAAGGTAACAACGTTCCGTGCGCCTTTGGCATTTAGTCATGCCGGCCACATGACCACAGAGACATCTTCGGACAGTGCTGGCTCTTCAGCTTAGAAACGGAGATGAGCGCTGCCCCTTAGAGTCGGGAACTATTAGCACAGATGTGCGAGGGGGAACCTTTACCTTTTTAACCAATTGACAAGCTGAAAAGGTCAATCCTTAGTTACTTGGAACCGTAGAATTGAACATCCAATTGACTTCTTTGTCCTTCTTTAGAAGAAGAACCTGAGCTGGGCAATTTATCAATTGCAAAAGTGTACTGGGATGGATTCTACCTCACCTGGACAGCAGCTGATGGGGCCTATGAGAGTTTTGTCATACAGGTGCGGGAATCCAACCAACCAGAAGATACCCGGACTCTCACCCTTCCGGGCACACAACGATCCATAAATCTCTCCGGATTGTCACCAAGTACTCTTTACACAATCACCATCTATGGAATAACTCAGGGCTACCAAACAAAACCCATCTTTGTTGAATCTACCACAGGTATTCTTTCCGCGATTCTTCTTCCAATTCACGTTCCAGCTTTGCTTTCTTCATTATTATTAATTTTTTTTTCCAGAAAAGCCCACATCCACGCTGAATCCTGCCTCAGAATTTCCTCTGGCCCCCTGTTATTCTAAATAATCAGCAAATTTTCCACCTTGTTTGAAGATTGCATCTCGTGGCAATTTTTTTTTTTTGCATCTAGCCAAAGCTTGCTGGGGGGGAAGGGGGGGCAGAGAAAGATATTAACTGATATACCATTTGGAAGAGGAGGAAGTGAGATAGAAATAAAATGGAAAATGCTTTTCTATGCTAAATGTTTTCATTTGAAAAGAATTGTCTGGGGAGGAAAAATAACATCTAACATGGAAATTTTCCTCCTGAGTCTGCAAAGACTGAGCTCAAAAACATCCTCCTTTTAATTTGTTCGATTAATTTTATTTAGAGCCAGCTTCCGCGCCAACTTATATGCTTTTTGCTTGGCTCATTATATGCTTTTTTTTTTTTTGCTTGGGACACTGTGGCTCAATGGCTGAGCTTGTCAATCAAAAGATTGGCAGTTCAGCGGTTCGAATCCCGAGTGCCACGTAACGGGGTGAGCTCCCGTGACTTGTCCCAGCTTCTGCCAACCTAGCAGTTCGAAAGCACGTAAAAAAGAAATGCAAGTAGAAAAATAGGGACCACCTTTGGTGGGAAGGTAACAGTGTTCCGTGTGCCTTTGGCATTGAGTCATGCCGGCCACATGACCACGGACAGCGCTGGCTCTCCGGCTTTGAAACGGAAATGAGCACCGCCCCCTAGAGTCAGGAACGACTAGCACATATGTGCGAGGGGAACCTTTACCTTTACTTTATCTATCCTCCATATGAACTTTGGGTGGTGCAAAGGTTCAATAGTCTGAAAGATGGTAAGCCAGCTTGATCGTTCGGCTTCATCGCTGAATAGGGAGTTGAACTTGAATTCCTCTACATCGTGCTGCCCTTCTCTGATTTATTCTGAAAGAATAACTGTTATTAGTAAAGTAAAAAAAAAATTGCCATTGAGATGTTCTTGAATATCGCTTCCTTTTTGCTTCTAACTTTTGAAGATGCTCGCCTCGCCTTAAAGCTTCAACTCTGCTCGTCCTGCAATTAATTGATTTGGGTTCTGCTTTCCATCCTGTTTCTTTTGTTCTTCACTCCTTGAGACTTTCTTGCATCATCTAACACGCAGCACTAATCCTGGGATGGCGCTATAAAGATTGAACAGTCTGCAAAACCAGGTCCATTGCAAAACACATCAAGAAGCAACCCTCGTTCCGTTCTTCTCTGCATGTGATTTCACATTCTTTGTCTGGCTTCTTCCCTCTCTGGGAGACAAGCGGGAAATTGTGCTTCTGCCAGTATGATGGAAGCGTACTTCCCTTCTGTCTTCTTGAAGGAAGCAAAAAAAATCTCTTCTTAGTAACCATTGCTGGGTTCTCATCTTGCCACTGAACCCTGGTAGCGGAGTGGTTAAGTGCAGAATTGCAGATAAATTCTGCCCACAGCCTGGAGTTCGATCCCGACTGGCTGAAGGTTGACTCAGCCTTCCATCCTTCCGAGGTTGGTAAAATGAGGACCCAAATTGTTGGGGGCGATAGGCTGACTCTGTAAACAGCTTAGAGAGGGCTATAAAGCACTGTGAAGCAGTATATAAGTCTAAGTGCTATTTCTATTGTCCTTCCTTTTTTCCTTTTCTTCCTTCTTTCCTTCCTTCCCTCCTTCCTTCCTTCCTTCCTTCCTTCCTTCCTTCCTTCCTTCCTTCCCAATGGTTAGAATGCAGTATTGCAGGCAAACTCTGCCGACTGCCAGGAGTTCGATCCTGACGGGCTCAAGGTTGAGTCAGACTTCCATCCTTCCAAGGTCGGTAAAATGAGGACCCAGATTCTCAGGTCAATAGGCTGACTCTGTAAACTGCTTAGAGAGAGCTGTAAAAGCACTGTGAAGCAGTATATAAGTGCTATGGCTATTGCTGTTGCTATTCCTTCCCTTCCTTCCTTCCTTCCTTCCTTCCTTCCTTCCTTCCTTCCTTCCTTCCTTCCGTGTGGTGCAATGGTTAGAATGCAGAATTGCCGGCTGACTCTGCCCATTGCCAGCAGTTCAATCCTGACCAGCTCAAGGTTGACTCAGCCTTCCATCCCTCCGAGGTCAGTAGAATGAAGGCCAAGATTGTTGGGGACAAGAGGCTGACTCTGCAAACTGCTTAGAGAGGGCTGTAAAAGCACTGTGAAGCGGTATACAGGTAGTCCTCGACTTACGGCCATAATTGTGCTCCAAATTTCCATTGCTAAGACAGTTGTTAAGTAAGCTTTGTCCTTTTTCAGCCTTTCTTGCCACAGCTCTTAATTAAATCGCTGCGGTGGTTAAGTTGCTAAGTGAATCTGGTTTCCCTATTGGCTTTGCTTGTCAGAAGGTCACAAAAGGGAATCACATGACCCCTCCCCCGGGGACACTCCAACCGTCATAAACACAAGTCAGTTGCCAAACATCCAAATTTTGATCATGTGACTCTGAGGACGCTGCAACGGTTGTAAGCAGCGATGAAATCCAGCAGGTTCTAACAGGTTCTGGAGAACCGGTAGCGGAAATTTTGAGTAGTTCGGAGAACCGGCAAATACCACCTCTGGCTGGCCCCAGAGTGGGGTGGGAATGGAGATTTTGCAATATCCTTCCCCCAGGACTGGGGAGGGAATGGGGATTTTGCAATATCCTTCCCCCAGGAGTGGGGAGGGAATGGAGATTTTGCTGTATCCTTCCCCTGCCATGCCCACCAAGCCACGCCCACAGAACCGGTAGGGAAATAAATTGGATTTCACCCCTGGTCATAAGTGTGGAAAACGATCGTGTCACTTTTCTTTAGTACCATTGTAAATTCAAACGATTGCTAAATGAAATGTTATAAGTCAAGGGCTACCTGTATAAGTGCTATTGCTATTCTGCTCGAAAATCCATCTATGCTAGCATTTCTCTCTTGGACACCCCTTGAAAACACAAGTTGCCACACCAACACACACTCACACACCCTTCCTTAAACTTGAAACGATCCAACTTTTCTTCCTTTCCAACCCCAAGAAAGCAGATGTCCTACTTCAGCCCTTTTGTTCCTTCCTAACGTGCATTTAAGCTTGGCATGGTCAACTTTGGGCTTTCTTGGCTTGGATGCTTGCTTGAGGTCCTCTTCCACCGCACGAACAAGGGACGTCGACGTTTTAAGCAAACGTTCTACAGGTCTCAATCACCCCAAATCACTTCAAATCACCCCAAATGTTGTTTCTTTTCTCCAGGGGCGAAACCTGAAGTTGGAAACCTGACTGTCCGGGCTGTGACCCCAGAAAGCTTCAACCTCTCGTGGACGACCTCCAAAGGAGATTTTGAGATCTTTACCCTTGAAATCATTGATTCTAACAGGTTGCTGGAACCCATGGAATACAACATTTCGGGCAGTTTAAGGACTGCCCATATCTCAGGGCTTCCCCCTCAAACCAGTTTCATTATCTACCTCTACGGAGTCACTCGTGGCCTCCGCACTCAGACGTTAAGCATAACTGCCGTAACAGGTACATTTTGATGCTCCTCAAAAATTAACCAGCTGTTTCTTAATTTTCAACCTTCTTTTGCAGCCGAGTCACTCCACCGTTCCATCTTCTCCTTGATCTAGCGCCCTTTTTTTCTGGTCTAGATCTTCTCACAATGGCTTGTAGAGTAGTGGCCAAAATTGTGGAAAAGTGTATTTTTGAGGTTTGATGGCTAATAACATCACTTTTTTGGAAGTTTCAAGATAATCATATTCCACTGCTGGAATGGCCTGGGAATAGCCCAGACCTTCACCCAATTGAAAATCTATAGAGCTGACTAAAGAAACTTGTTAGTGAGAAGCGACCCAGCAATAAAACCCAGTTAATAGAGGCAATCATTCCATCTTGGTTTCACATTAGAACAGCTGCAGAACTTAAAAAGTTGGTTCACTCCATGGGAAGACATTGTAAGGCCGTAATTCATGCTAAAGGTTACCCAACTAAGTATTAACTGACATGGGGATCATTTTTGTCTATCTCATTTTTTCTAGGGTGATCATTTTTGTATATCTTGTTTTTTTTCTACGTGTTTCACTTTTCTTCTTTATACTGTAACTGCTATTCTAGTAGCAAATCCTTCATAAAAGTTATTGCATTACATTCTTGATTAAATTATCTTTCCATTGATATATAATTTTATGGGACTACTCCCCAAAAAAAAGTGGTGTTATTAGCTAGTTTTAGAAAATGCACTTTTCCCAAAAGGTTTCCGACAATTTTGACCACTACTATAGTGTGGATTTTCATGTAGACTTTGGGGGAAAAAAAGTAACTTTTTTTTTGTTTGTTTGTTCCAGCTTAAGCTTTGGAAAAAATGAGAAAATATACTTTTGGGGCCCTACTGGCATCCTCGAAAGATGCATCTGTGAATTTTACGATCACATAAAATCCAGTTAGTCTCCAGAAAGTCTATTCTTAGTTGCAATTAGATGAGTCTGCAAGTTACCTACGAATAGTTTGGGTTTGACAGAGATGGTCAGTGTGCTGCTGGACTATCTCATTTTGAGCTACCGTATTTTTCGGACTATAAGACTCACCTAAATTTAGAAGAGGAAAACAATGAAAAAAGGTTTATGGTCTCCGTGTGTCCCATTTTCACCCCTTTTTTCAGGCCTTTTCCAGCTCTTTTTTTGGTGACTTTGTGAGGCTTTTTTTGGCCCGTTTTCAAGGCTTTTTTCAGCCTGTTTTTGAGGTGCTTTTTTGGCCTGTTTTTGCCAAAAAAAAAAAAGGGCCGAAAACAGCATCAGAAATGAGCCAAAAAAGCCTTGAAAATGGGCTGAAAAAGCCTCAAAAATGGGCTGAAAAAGCCTCAAAATGGGCCAAAAAAAGGCCCGAAAACAAGGTGTGCTGAGGCAAAAAAATGGTGACGCTTTGGCAATATTTAGTCTATAAGATGCACAGACATTTTCACCCCCTTTTGAGGGACAAAAAAGTGTGTCTTATAGCCCGAAAAATACGGTAAGTGGAAGGACTCGCATGATAAAATATTACCCTCCACACAAAATGCAGATCCATCAGTTCACACGGACATCTAACATGTTAGGAGAAAGACAGAGAAGATATTTTTTCCCCCTGTCCAAATATGTGTGATAAATGCAATGAGTACACTTAAGAGACATTTAATGAATTTCTGCTTCCGGTCACTCTCATGATTTTAAATTTACACCGTTCTTTTCAGAGATGGGTTTCAGCGGGTTGTGACCAGTTCTGGAGAACCGGTAGCAGAAATTTTGAGTAGTTCAGAGACCGGTAGTAAAAATTCTGACTGGTCCCATCCGCATCTATTCTCTGCCTCCCAATCCCAGCTGATCAGGAGGAAATGGGGATTTTGCAGAATCCTTCCCCTGGAGTTCGGAGGGAATGGAGATTTTACAGTATCCTTCCCCTGCCACGCCCACCAAGCCACGCCCACCAAGTCATGCCATGTCCACCATATCCACAGAACCGGTAGTAAAAAAATTTGAAACCCACCACTGGTTCTTTTCCCTCAGAAACTTTCCCTCCCAAAGACATTTTTGAGTTGGGATGGAGAGAGAGAGAATGACTGGCCCAAAGTTCCTCAGAGGAGTTTCCATGGCTGAGGGAGACTTCAAATGTAGACAATAATAACACCAGTACCAGTGTCTGGTTTCTCAGCTACAAGCTGTTCCAAGGAGCGATGCGAAGACTTGCTATTACTAATATAAGATCAGGTGTAATTATAATGCTCAATCTCATGGCCAGGTTGATGGGCAAACTCAACAATTCCAACTTTTAAGGAGGTGTCATTATCACCATTTGCTTTTTCTGTGATTCCTTTTCCTTTATGTATAATCTTTTAAGACCATCTCATCTAGTTCCTCTTGACTCGAGGAATCAAAAAAAATCTAGGGATCTAAGTGAGCTTACCAGGCAAAATAGTTCAATCACAGTGCTTGCGTTCCCACAATTAAGCAGTTGGATGGATGGAACTTTTCTTCTCTTGTGGATGCTCTCGTTTCAACCAACATGCATTTTCTTTCTCTAGATACATATATCTAGAAGGATTATGTGCAACATAATGCCTAGGACAATATATGTATCAATGTTTGTTCTACTTGGCACCTCTGTGGAACATGCTTGGGATTGATTCCAACATCCATCGTCCTACATCTACTGTATCTTGGGTTTCTTTCTGGTTGCTTGTCTTGTTTCTCCACGTCGCGAAGTCGGGCTCTCCCAAAGATCTTGACTTCCTAGGAAATGGTTCTTTGCATGTGATGTTCTTTGCACTTTGTGTATGAACCAAAGACCCGCTAAAGAGTGTAGAAGGCCTCCATGTTTTCAATATTGCAACCTATCAAGCAAAAAAAAACTTGCATGCATTTTTTTCCCAAGCATCTTCTCTTTTCCGGGCATTCTGCATACCTTTGGATACCAGAATTGTCTCCAGAACAGAAAAACCAAATCTCCCTCTTCCTTAAAGCTTTCACGATTGCCTCGTAAACCATCAAGTGGGATTGCGACACAGATTGTGGAGGGATTCCAGACAATTTTGCGGTATCGTTGGTATCTCTGAGAGAGATTTTCTTAAATCCGATTGCATGTCAGAATCTGGGAGGCCCAAGGATGATGCCTGATCCGAATGCAAGCGCATGCTTCGAACAAAGCCATAAAGAGTATGAATTCTGAGAAAGCCATCTTCAAACCGCATGACCGTCTGATGGGAACATGTCTCCTATCTATGTGTTGTTTTCCTTTTAAGGAACCTAGCCATTTCGCTGGGTTCATGCTTCCGTGAATCCTGAGCGTTACAGCAGGAAATCTTTACCTGCTGGCTTTTGCTGGTCGTTTTCTGACAGCCTGAATCTCTTGCATGTCTCCTTAATTGAGGCCACTCCAGCACTCTTCACCCAAAACAGTCACACATACATCTTTTTGTAGTACATCTTTCAGACAAATCCCTTCTTAAAAGACTCCTGTGTTGGAGGACCCACAACTTCTGAAGGCAAGTTGTTCCGCTGGTTGATTGATCTTGACATGGACAATGTTCTTGAAACAACTCCAGTTGAATCCTGACATCAACCTGATTGATGATCACAGCCCAACAGCAGATCCAAGAATGGCCTGTCGTAGTTCTGTAGGACACCTCCTTCATTGGTTTGTCAGCCAGATCTCCACCCATAATGGTTGTCTCTTTTTTCCCCCTTTATGTCCCTTCTCTCTTCAGAACTCAAGCTACAGTTGAGTACATTCACACTCACAAATGCTCGTTTGAGCGAGTTCTCCTGGACTACAAGAGAGGAAGCTTTCGCACATATGACAGTTAATGTTAGAGGCCTCCGCCGATCTCAGGAGCCTCTGAAGTTGGCAATCTCAGAAGAGGTTCATGACACCTTCATCTCAGGCATGGTAGATTATTTGGATTATGAGGTTAACATTCAGGGCACAACCACAGGTGGGGCCCATCAGGATCCCCTCCTGTCTTTGATACTGACAGGTATTCTTACAAAGGATTTTTTTCCCCATCACTTAATGACCTCGTAATCCTTTGTGGGGTGGAGTCAAGGCAACTGAATGGAGTTGAGTGTTTACTGGCCGGATGCTTTTCCTGTTGCCAATGCAGAGTTTTGTTCGGCAGATAATATTCTCATTGTGCCCAGAGAGAGAAATATCAGCCTCTACCTAGGATCGAACTCACAGCCTCCTGATTGTGAGGCGAGACCTCCACCTCTAGGTCACGGCACCAACTCTCGTGATCCTACTAGAAATGATAGAAAAATATTTGTAGCTTGGGTGGTAGATGTTGGTGATGACTTGTTCTCTGAGCTTGTTGTTTAGCTTCCAAACATTTCATCAGAAGCCTAGGTGACATCCTCAGCGGGATTTTGGTGGAACAAAACACTTCAACCGAAATCCCGCTGAGGATGTCACCTAACCTGGTGGCGAGACGTTCAGAAGCTAAACAGCAAGCTCAGAGAACAAGCCACCATGGCCATGAATGATCCTGGTATTTCATGGTAGCCCTTGCAATAATATATGCTTACTCCGGCTTCCAAATGTACTCATTTTGGAATTTACTCAATCTATTCCATAATTATAATGTCCTCATCTGGATGAAAGTCTGGGTTAACACAACGTGTTAACCTAGCCAGGAATAACACAAACCGAACTCTGTGTACAGCCGCTACACCAAACTCCTTCTAATTACTCCAGTCAGTGAGCTCAACGGAAGCTGTAGTATGCTAGTTCACATACTAGGCAACCAGCAAAGATAACAAGGAACATGCACAGCCAATGGCTTTCCCATAGCGAATCCCACAGCCTAGGCATTGCATTATCTTTACTTTTATAATTGACCCCTTCTTTTGGTGGTGGGAGACTTGTGGTTTGTATCAAATGGCACCCACAACTCGGTCTAACACAGCCCTTCTTATCCCTTCTCCCCTTTCGCAGAAGTATTGCCCTCCCTGGAAAACCTCACGGTTTCCCGGATTAATCCGTACGGGTTTACGGTATCCTGGATGGCATCAGAAGATGCCTTTGAAAGTTTTCTGGTCATCGTGGTGGATTCTGGCAAACTGCTAGATCCCCAAGAATTCCTTCTTCCTGGAAGCCAGCGCCAATTGACCCTTAGAGGGCTCATAACAGGCATTGGGTACGAAGTCCTTCTTTACGGCTTGATCCATGGCCGTCAAACAAGACCCTTAAACATTGTAGCCTTAACAGGTATTTTTATTTTTTTTAAAAAAAAAAATCATGAAAGTGGAATGCTCGTCCCTTCTCACCATTGCCTTCCTCCTCTGGAAGGTCTTTCATGTCTTCTCTATTCACCGTGGAACCATGACGTCCCTTACTGACCCTTTCACTAATATGTCACCTCTTTCTCCTTTTCATTCCTGTCTTGGTAATGGACCAACATTTTAAAGAGCAGCAGAAGGTGGAGACGCATCAAATCATTCATAGAACATAGACTAGTAGAGTTGGAGGTCTTCTAGTCCAAACCCTTGCTTGAGCAGGAGACCTCATACCATTTCAGGTAAACGATTGTCCAGTCTCTTGTTGAAAGCCTCCAGTGATGGAGCATCCACAACATCTGAAGGCAAGTTGTTCCATTGTTCCTTTCAGATATCTTTGTCATCCTAGCCAAAGAGTAAAGTCAATATTTTTATCAGTCCTTGGGTTTAATATCTCAACTCTGTCTTTGAAAAAGCAATGTCTATAAAAGAAGGTCAAGAAAATGATATAATCCAGAACAATCAAGCTGATGTTTAGGTTAGCTCCTAAACTTCTTTATCGTTGTATTAGATAGCTGGCTAAACTTGGGGACGCGCTTCCAAAATTCAGGTCTCCATCTTTTAAATAACCTTGGAATCCATCATCATGTCATCTTCATTTAGCATCATTGTTTCCAAGCTCACTATTGTCTAAAGTTGAACATCATCAGAAAGGACACGTTACTTGTGTGTTGCAGAAGGTGTCAGCTCTTGACCGACCTGGTTTCAAAGAAGAATTTACTTTTGGAAAGCTTCATCATACCATCTCAGCTTTTTCTAGTTTAGCATTGACCTCTCTGATCTTCAACCGTTCTTCTGTCACAAAGCAAGCAACTTAAAAGACTGAATGTGGAATCTCGGATGCTTCGTCACTGAGCTTCAATCCTACAGAGTATTCTGTCAGTTAAACCCTGTACATGATCACTCGTCAAGGGTTTATCCACCATCCTCTCATTCCTGATGGCGCTTTATAGGATCAGGGGTGCAGCCTAGCTGAGGACACATATAAGAATTTACTGCTTCCTTAAGTACAAGCATCAAACTCTCCGCACACTTTTAGAGATGATTAGTATAGGTAGTCCTTGACTTACAGCATTCATTTAGTGACCGTTGGAACAACAACACTGAGAAAGGACTTGGAAGGCACCTTGGAGGTCATGTAGTCCAACACCTTGCTCAAGCAGAAGACCCTATGCCCGTGATGGTGAACCTATGGCACATGGAGCCATATCTGTGGGCATGAGAGCATTATTTATTATTTATTTATTGGTTTGATTTATATGCCGCCCTTCTCCAGAGACTCAGGGCGGCTTACAATGCGTTAAGCAATAGCCTTCATACTTTTGTATATACCTGCTTAGTAGGGCTTTCGCCCTCCCTCCCCTCCAAGCGGTGTTCTATTTTATGCAAAGTCAGCTTATTGTCCCCACAATCCGGGTCCTCATTTTACCTACCTCGGAAGGATGGAAGGCTGAGTCAACCTTGAGCCTGGTGAGGTTTGAACTTGCAGTAATTGCAGGCAGCTGGTGTTACTTAACAGTGCTTTAGTCTGCTGCGCCACCAAGGCTCTTGAGCATTGCCCTAGCTCAGCTCCAGCGTGCATGTGTGCACCAGCCAGCTGATTTTTGGGCCTTCTGGAAGTCAGGAAATGAGCTATTTCCGGCCTCCGGAGGGCCTCCGGGGGAGAGGCTGTTTTTGTTCTCCCCAGGTTCCTAGAAAACCTCTGGAGCCTGGGGAGGGTAAAAATGGGCCTTCCTGTCCAACCAGAAGTCAGGAAACGGGCCGTTTCTGGCCTCCAGAGGGCCTCCGGGGAGGTGGGGAAGGCTGTTTTTGCCCTCCCCAGGCTTCTAGAAAGGCTCTGGAAAAACGGGCCTACTGGGCCCACCGTTCCAAGAAGGGGGAGCGCTTTTGGCACACGATGGCAAAAAAGGTTAGCCATCCCTGCCCTATGCCATTTCAGACAAAGGGTTGCCCAGTCTCTTCTTAAAAGCCTCCAGTGGTGGAGCGCCCACAACTTCTGGAAGCAAAGCTGTTCCACTGGTTAAACATTCTCCCTGCCAAGAAATTTCTCCTTGGTTCTAGGTTGCTTCCCTCCCGGATTAGTTTCCATCTGTTGTCCTGCCTTCAGGTGCTTCGGAAAACAGTTTGAACCCCTCGTCTACCTAGGAGCCCCCTCCAATATTGGAACACCGCTATCATGTCTCCCCTCGGGAATGAAATGAACATCACTCCTACTACTACCAGCATGTTTCATTTTGCATGGTAGGGGAAAGCGTGGGTTTTACACATTGGTGCAAGTTTGAATCCCGTGAAGCTCGGCCAGCTTTGGTTTGGAATGTCTCTTTTCTATTAATCACTGAATGCCTTTTCCTCTCCACTTTCCAAATAGCAGAGTGGACTTGCGTTCGGAATGCTCACCTCCTAAGCTAACCCGGACTTGATTCTCTATTGGATATTTTTCTTTCTTGTTCTCTTATTTTTTCCCCCCAAAAAGGACATTAAAAACAACAACAATCCTTTGCCATTGCAGAAGCTGAACCCGAAGTAGATCATCTTTTGGTATCGGACGCTACCCCCGAAGGTTTCCGTCTGTCTTGGACAGCGGATGAAGGAGCCTTTGACAGTTTTGTCCTTAAAATCAGGGATTCCAACAGGCTTTTAGATCCTCTGGAGTTGATCGTACCAGGTCACCAACGAACTCAGGACATCCACGGGCTGAAAGAAGGGACCGAATATTATGTAGATCTCTATGGAGTAATCAGCGGACGGCGATCTCAGCCTGTAAATGCGATTGCTATGACAGGTACCTCGGTCCGCCTCTGGCTTGTCGAAGAACACAACTACACCGTTTGGCCACATGCATGCCTATATATGTATTTGTGTTTGCGTGTGTGTGTGTGTGTGTGTGTGTGTGTGTGTGTGTGTGTGTGTGTATTGCATTTACAGCAGAGGTGAAATTCACTTACCTTCCCAACCAGTTCGCAAAGGTGTGCGCGGGCTGTCCTCTGCGCATGCACAAAGCCTTCTGTACATGTGCAGAGGCTGAAAATGGTCGCAAAAAAGGGACATCATGACATCCGTGCGAGTGGGCGGGGCTTCGCGCAGTCAGCCCTACCGTATCACACGATCCGGTAGGAACCGGCTGAATTTCACCTCTGATTTACAGGTAGTTTTCAACTTACCACAGTTCGTTTAGTGACCGTTCAAAGTTGCAATGGCACTGAAAAATGTGATTTATGATCATTTTTCAAATTTATGACTGTTGCAGCATCCCCATGGTCACGTGATTAAAAGTTGGACGCTCGGCAGCTGGTTCATATTTATGACGGTTGCCGTACCCGGGGATCATGTGAACAGCTTTTGTGACCTTCTGACAAGCAAAGTCCATGGAGAAGCCAGATTCACTTAATAACTGTTACTAAATTAGCAATATGGTGATTCGCTTAACAGCTGTGGCAAGAAATGTCATAAAACGGGGGGCAAAACTCACTTAACAAATGCCTCATTTAGCAACAGAAATTTTGGGCTCAATTGTGGTCGTATGTTGAGGACTACCTGTATTTTTCCAAGCGATATTGTTGAGCACAATCCTCAGATAAGCTCTCATTGCAGGCCTGTTAGGAATTCTATTTATATAAAGCGCCAACAAAGCAAACAAAAGAGTACAGTCACCATGTTCTTTACTGCACAACTGTTTTAACTGCAACAGGAAACAGGAAACTCTACTGAGAACAAAAGAGCATAGAGTACATACCATAGATCCAAATTTGTAAACACTGCCATCTACTGGCTGAGTAGTACTGTAGTTGTTGCATAAAAATACATTCCAACTATGAATTCCAAGAAGGCCCCTTGTATACAAGGATAAACATAGAATTGTGGGGTGTTCATTTTTATTTATTTTAACTCTCAAATTTAGATACTTCCCATATAACTCTCAGTTATCTAAGTTCTTCCTTTTTTGTGGGAGAAGATTGTCCTACCTTCCGACCCAGAAAATCTACTTTTTGTATCTGTCTGCTCTAACTTTCACTTAATGCGTGCTATGGTTTAAGTAGCCAAAAATGCCCTGGCTTACCTCCCAATCTTTTCAACAAGACTTGTGTGTTGGAGACTCTGTTGTATTGTGCTCACAGTGACGAATAATCCAGCGTTTTATTTCTAGGGTGCCTTTATTTCTTCCTCTCTCCCTCTTTATGTCTCTTGACCGAACTAACCCTTCTTAATTGTCTTTATTTCAAAGGTTTCTAATACGGTTTTCTTTTCTTTCTCGCCGTATGAAAAAAAATGGGCATGATTCTTGTCTAGGCTAAGTGGCATGCATAGAAGTGATCACCGGTTTAGGAAAATAATTTTGTGGAAATTCTCCCCCCCCCCCCAACCAACCCAAAGAGTGTGTTTATTGTTATTTAAATCAGTGGACTTGGAAAGCTTATTTCCGGCAGGGGGTTGGTAATGGTTATTTCAGAGATGGACTATGGAAAGGTTGAGATTTTGTGCACATCCAACTTGTCCTTTAAAATCATAAACAATAAACAAACAAGCTAACAGTAAACAGCCTGTTTAACCACTCGTTAAATTGGGATGTAGATGTTTCAACCTTATTTCTTCCAGGCATTTTTTTTTTAAGTAATCAAGACACTACCATTTGAAATGCAAATGTTTCCAAATCAAGGATTTTAAATCTTGGTCTGTCTGTCTGTCTGTCTGTCTGTCTCTGTCTCTGTCTCTCTCTCTCTCTTTCTCTGTCTGTCTGTCTGTCTCTCTCTGTCTGTCTGTCTCTCTCTGTCTCTGTCTCTCTCTTTCTGTTTCTGTCTCTCTCTCTCTCTCTCTCTGTCTCTGTGTGTGTCTCTCTCTCTGTCTGTCTCTCTCTCTGTGTCTATCTGTGTCTCTCTCTGTCTCTGTCTCTTTCTGTTTCTGTCTCTCTCTCTCTGTTTGTCTGTTTGTTTGTCTGTCTCTCTGTCTCTCTTTCTGTTTCTCTCTCTGTGTGTGTCTCTCTCTGTCTCTGACTCTGTCTCTGTCTCTGTCTCTCTGTCTGTCTGTCTGTCTCTCTCTGTGTGTGTGTGTGTCTCTGTCTCTCTCTCTCTTTCTGTTTCTGTCTCTCTCTCTCTGTCTGTCTCTCTCTCTGTGTGTCTCTGTCTCTGTCTCTTTCTGTTTCTGTCTCTCTCTCTCTCTCTGTGTCTCTCTCTCTGTGTCTCTGTCTCTGTCTCTGTCTCTCTCTGTGTCTCTCTCTGTGTCTCTCGCTGTCTCTCTCTTTCTCTGTCTGTCTGTCTCTCTCTCTCTCTCTCTGTCTCTGTCTCTCTCTGTCTCTCTCTCTCTGTCTCTCTCTCTGTCTCGCCCTCCCTCTAACTTTCATTTGGGGGGAACATTGAAAGAAAACCTTTAATTTGCATTTGAGACAGACAAATTAGGAAAGAGGGGTAGAAGAAATCTAAGAATATTCAAGCAACATATTTTTTAAAAAATTCCGCATCTTTAAACGTACAGCTATGATGTTTAAGCTGTCTCTATAGCTCGGGAATGACATAATGCTCAGCATCAAGATTATCTGTTGTCCAAAATAGAGATTATTTGTTTTTCTGCAGTGTTTATTCAGCCTTGTATTACTATAAAAAGTCAAAGCTGGGCTGCCAAGAGACATGTTTGCAAACAAAGACTTTTCTTTTATGGAGCTTTTCATTTTAGTCATAACACTGGATTTAACACAATCTTCACTGTAGCTCCTGCTCCCAAGATTCTCTCTGAGTTTTTTCCCAGCTCACCGAGCTACTTAAACTATGTGTTAACTCCTTTTCTTTCTTTCTCTGCATACAGCAGTGGGATCCCCGAAGGAAATCTCTTTCTCAGAAATAACAGAAAGTTCAGCGGTGGTTAGTTGGAAGCCTCCCTTGACGCGGGTCGACAGTTTCCGAATTTCGTACGGTCCAGAACCTGGAGGTAAGAAACAGGACTGGCTCCAGGGGTTGGCTGCTGGGGGGTTCGCAGAGGTTCAGGAGAACCTCTAGCTAAGATTCTGTGCAGTTCAGAGAACCCCCAAATCCCATTCCTGGATGGCTCCACCCACCCTACCCTGCCCCTCCTAGGAGTCCCCACGCGGTCTGTTTTGGATGCAGGTAAGTGCAGGGCACATGCAGAGGCTCAGGGAGGGTGAAAAACGGGCCTATTGAAAGTTTAGGAGGCCTGTTTCTGGCCTCCAGAGGGCCTCTGAAGTCTGGGGACGCCATTTCTGCCCTCCCGGAGGCTCAAGAAAAGCCTCCGGAGCCCGGGGAGGGCAAAAATGTGCGCCCCCGCCATGGTGCAGGAGGCTGCCTAGGCCATGCCCACGCCCACCCAGCAACCAGGCAGAGAACCCCTTGCTAAAATTTTTGAAGCCCACCCCTGACTGGCTCCTACCTTGACTAAGCTTATGTTCTGCTTTGAAGTATATGTTGATGAAACCGAGCCAGAATGTATCACATTAAAGGAAGCGGCTTGCAAAAGTGAAGACTTTAAGGAACGCTGTGTATGAGAAAGTGTGTTTGATTGTCAAAAAGGAACAACATAAGGGGTCCTTGGTGCTCTCTGAGAAGCAAGAGACAGATGGCAGTCCAGTCTCTTCTTGAAAGCTTCCAGGGATGAAACTCCCACAACTTCCGAAGGCAACTTCCGTTCCATTGGTTGATTATCCTCACTGTCAGAAAATGTCTCCTTATTTCCAGGTTGATCAGTTTCCATCCATTGTTCCTTGTCTGGCCTTCAGGTGCTTCAGAAAATAGCTTGACCCCTTCCTCTCTGTGGCAGCCCTCCAAATATTGGAAGACTGTTATCATGTTGTCACTGCGTTTTTGAATTTACCAGATGAGCTCTTATTTTTGAACTCTAAGACTTACCGTACCTTGCCAAGTTCTTATCAGTAACTGATATTGCGCATGTCTACATTCCTTCACTTTCTTCTAACTTTCTTTGTTCTCTTGCCAAGAGGTCCAGCCAGAAGAGGTGGCCGGGAAAGCTTTGCCAAAATGTAACTAATTAGACTAGTGAGATGTTTTATTTTCTTGATAACAAATAAATGAGTTTTTCTTAGAAGATATATCTTCGGGTTTATTTTCTTAAGTATACTTCAAGGAAAAGCCTCGATTCATCCTCTAAATCAAGGTGCGATTACCCAAAAGCAGAATGGGATTAATTGTCACCCTGACACATGTCTCCCCTGGTCCTTTTCTTCACTAGACTATCCATGCCCAGTTCCTGCAACCGTTGCAAGTTGGTTCTGTTTTGTCCTGCCTTTTTTTAAAGTTTACACGCAACTGGAAGGATAGGAATTTTTTTAAAAAAAAAAAAATACCCCTCTGTGAAAGCCCAAACTAACAAGTTTTATTCATCCTCTATTCCAGATGACCTCAAAACTCTGACCGTGGATGGCAACCGGAGTAGAATCAAGCTAGTAGATCTGATCCCTGGCATAAAATATATCGTCAATGTTATAGCTATCAAAGGATTTGAAGAAAGTGATGCTGTCTCTGGATCTCTGCTTACAGGTACGTACAGGGAAGAAATGAGTGCAATTTGTCCATCTTCGGTGTTACAAGGGAATGTGGGGTCTGTGTAGAGGGAGAGGAAGAGAAAGAGGAGAAGAAAAAGGAGGAGGAGGAGGGAGCCTCTAAGTCCTTCTTTTCATTAAATTAGACATATCCAATTCCTGCATCCTTTCTTCATATGTTTGTAGCCTGTGGTGAAATCCAATTTTTTTTTTTACTATTGGTTCTGTGGGCTTGGTTTGATGGGCGTGGTGTGGCTTGGTGGGCATGGTTTGGTGGGCGGGGCAGGGGAAGGATACTGCAAAATCTCCATTCCCTCTCCACTCCTGGGGGAAGGATTCTGCAAAATTCCTGCAGCCTCCAGTCCCCTAACCATCTTTGTTGCTCTTCTCTGCCCTCTTTAAATGTCGACGTTCAACACTTTTCATTCCTATCCATTTGCACAGGGGTTACTCTTGTTCTGTCCCCGTTCCACTCACGCACCCCCACAGACGGCCCGGAGTTAATAAGCCACACGACAAAATTCTTTGAAAATAAACCTGGCAGCAACCCAGTGGCTAGCTGCCAATTCAGACTTTACTCACACAAAACAAAGATTAGACTGCCAGCATTCCGATAAAACAGGCAAAGTTTCAGCAATACAAGGATTAGTCCAAATGCAGTCCGATAAAGCAGGCAAAGTCCAGTAACGCAGAAATCATGGATTATTTCTAGTTTTTGCTCATCACAACCTGAACCGGCCACCACACCCACATTTATACCCTGTGGGGTGTGGTCCAGTGACTCAGCTAATCTCTGGCACGCCCTCCCCTCTGCTGTGCATGCTTCTCCCTGCGCCTCTGTCGCGGGTCCAGCCAGCACTTATCTCCTTCGTCGCTGTCCACCTGTGGCTGCGGGGACGTGCTTGGCTCTGAGCCTATCTTTTGGCCTTCGGTGTCCTCCAGAGGTATTGCCAGAGAGGAGGGTCCTGGAGAGGGAGGCCTTGCCAATTCCTCTCCCTCACTCTCAGAGTCTGCATCTGTCGATAGCCCAGGCTCAGGCAACGGAGCCACAACAACTCTTTGAGAGTGGACGGCAACACAGATGTGGAATAGTTTAAGCCGTAAGCTGTTCCCTTGGCAATGGTGAGGCCATAACTCAACCCTCTTGCCAAACTGATGCAGCGTGAAACCAGACGGAGATTTCACTGGCTTTAAAGTGAAGTATGACAGCTCCTTTGATTGAGCACCAAGGAAGCTGGGAGCAGAGGATGAAAAATCGCCACTGGATTTTGGCCTTCTGTTCAACCCTTCCCACGCCATCCCCAATCTCTGTTTTGTTTTCTCCAAGAAATGGCTTGGGGTTGGAAAGACAAACAGAGGAGCTGTCCTGCAAAGACAGATTGATGAGTTCAGGCTGAACTTTTTTTAAGCCAAGGGCCTCTTTTTACGAGGAAAAATAAGCCAGGCTGCTTCGGTTTAACATGTTTTTTTAAAGTCCCTTGTCTCATTCCTTTATTTTTTTTAAAATTTGGACTACATGTCCACATACTGCACCTTCTTGAACTTCGCACATTCTGGGAGCAGCCAAGAGAGAAATTTAGGAGGGACTACGTGGGCCCTTCTGTCTGTCTTCTTTATCGGAAACCTCATTATTGTAGAGCTGAAGAAGCTTCTCGGATGAGAAGTCTTCAAAGAAAAACCAGAAAGCCCACCAGGGACATGATGGCTCAGTGGCTAAGATGCTGAGCTTGTCGATCGAAAGGTCGGCAGTTCAGCAGTTCGAATCCCTAGTGCTGCGTTACGGGGTGAGCTCCCATGACTTGTCCCAGCTTCTGCCAACCTAGCAGTTCGAAAGCACGTAAAAAATGCAAGTAGAAAAATAGGGACCACCTTTGGTGGGAAGCAGAGGTGGGTTTTAGCAGGTTCTGACCACTTCTGGAGAACCAGTTGTGGAAATTTTGAGTAGTTTGGACAACCAGTAGTACAAATTCTGACTGGCCCCGCCCCCATCTATTCTCTGCCTCCCAAGCCCCAGCTGACTGGGAGGAAATGGGGATTTTGCAATAAATCCCCTGGTTTGGGGAGGGAATGGAGATTTTACAGTATCCTTCCCCTGGAGTGGGGTGGGAATGGAGATTTTACAGTATACTTCCCTTGCCATGCCCACCAAGCCATGCCACGCCCACCAAGCCACACCCACAGAACCAGTAATAAAAAAATTTGAAACCCACCACTGGTGGGAAGGTAACGGCGCTCCGTGCGCCTTTGGCATTGAGTCATGCCGGCCACATGACCACGGAGACATCTTCGGACAGCGCTGGCTCTTCGGCTTTGAAACGGAGATGAGTACCGCCCCCTAGAGTCGGGAAGGATTAGCACAGATGTGCGAGGGGAACCTTTACCTTTATGTGGGTCCTTCTGTCTTCTTTATTGGAAACCTTATTATTGTAGAGCTGAGGAAGCTTCTTGGATGAGAAGCGAAATGTCTTCAAAGAAAAACCCGACAGTTGCCTCTTGAAAAAAAAAAAAGCACCTTTACTGGGACTTATTTATTGTATGTTCTATGCGCTCAACCAGGGAGTTGTTGTTTATTGTAATGGTGTCGCTCTCTTTCTAGAATTGGATAGTCCGTCTGGACTGAGGGTCGTAAACATCACAGACTCCAAAGCTTTAGCTGTTTGGCAACCAGCCCTTGCGGCAGTGGACGAATACCTGATTTCCTATATTGCAGAAGGAGGTAAGTTCTGGAGAAAAGCTGCAGCTACATTCCAGTCTCTGTCCACCACTCTCTGTCTCTCTCTCTGTCTTTCTCTCTCTCTCTCTGTTTCTCTCTGTATATTTCTCTTTCTCTCTCTCTCCCTTCCTCCCTCTTTCCTTCTCTCTCCCTCTCTCTCTCTCTCTTCAAACCCCCCCAACTTTCCAATGCCAACTTCTACAGATGATAGACCACGCTGAGTCTACCAGAGCTCTACTCTCCACACCACAGATCATTCCAGCATGAAATTTGTCAACATCCACAAGCATTGAATGTCTCTTAAAATAAGCAAAGCAAGAAGAACGGCAATCCATGCTTTGCTCATTTATCATATGTTTCTCCTCCTCGGTCATTTAGAGACAGAAGTGACTCAGAGAGTATCCGGCAACACCATGGAATATGACCTCGTTGGCCTTCGACCAGCTACTGAATACACCCTCACGATTCAAGCCATCAAAGGCCCTCAGAGAAGCAGGGTCCTCTCTACCAAGTTCATCACAGGTAACCTGGCTGGGTTTTGTCTTATTTGCTGGGATCCCCGAAGCTGGATCAAATTATGACATCTGATCCAGTTTTCTGTCTCCCAAAGCAGCCTGCTATTCGGGGAGCTCCCAAAACAGTAAAGGAAGATACAAATTTGTACCATATAGTATCAGCCTTGTTAACCCTCGAGACTCTTTTTCCGCTATGTATTCAAAATGGACTGTGAGATAGATAGATAGATAGATAGATAGACAGATGGAGATGGAGGAAGGGAGGGAGCGAGGGAGAGAGGGAGGAGGGAGGGATAGCAGGAAGGAGGGAGGGAGATAGAGGGAGGGATGAAAGGAGGGAGATAAGATAGATAGATAGATAGATAGATAGATAGATAGATAGATAGATAGATGATGGATGGAGATAGATGGAGGGAGGGAGATGGAAGGAGGGAGGAGGGAGGGAGATAGATAGATGGAGGGAGGGAGGGAGGGAGATAAGATAGATAGATAGATAGATAGATAGATAGATAGATAGATAGATAGATGGAGATAGATGGAGGGACGGAGGGAGATGGAAGGAGGGAGGAGGGAGGGAGATAGATAGATAGAGGGAGGGAGGGAGATAGATAGATAGACGGATGGAGGGAGGGAGATGGAGGGAGGGGTAGGGGGTAGGGAGGGAGATAGATGGATGGATGGATGGACTGAGATAGATTGAGAGTGAGAGAGAGAGATGATATGTATATGTATGTGCATGGTTATATATTTATTTTTCTTTCAAGAGCAGGCATTAAAATTTCATTATTTAATGTGTGCCAGGGTGTTCACAGAAAAAAAGCGACAATAAAGTTTGGTTTGTCTTGTCTTAAATGGAATGAAACCCCATTTAGGAAGTTTCAGACCTGAATCGAAGCTTCCTAGAATGCTTAACAAAAATCCATCCTAAGTTTCATTAGAAAGAAATATATTTCATAAAGATTGCAGAGTGCGGTCAGGCATCTTGTACATTTTAGGGGGCGGGGGCTCTCAAACTAGCAAGACCTTAGCACAATAGCAAAACTGTAAGTGATGTGGTGGAATGTAGTCTGGATTCCCAGAAAGGAGGAACTGCTTTCCAGAGAGCAAAGAGAAAAGTTTGGTTGATGGGAAGAAGGGTTAAAATGGCTTCTCCTTAGCAATTCCCAGAGTATATCTGTAGTTACGCAAATAGTTGCTTTAGTCTAGCAAGATTCTGTCTGTAGGTGAAGAATAATAAAGGGAACTATTTGAGTAATTATACATGTCATTCTTCATTCTTGGGGATTGATAAGGATGTGGTTGAAACGTCATCTCTAGTTCGCCAGATCTTGGTGACTTTTTTTCCAGCTAGATTTGTGCTGATGGGGTTCCATCAATCTGATTCCTGTCACCCGTCTCACAATATTAGGTCCTGATGCTCCCAGATCTCTGACTGCTTCTGATGTCCAGTTTGAAACAGCCCTGCTCACGTGGAAGCCACCCCAGGGCTCTATCACAGGCTACCTCCTGATCTACGAATCCGCTGATGGCAAAATCAAGGTAAGGAAGTGTTTAGGTCCAGAACTGGTCCTCTCTTACACACAGAAGCATCTCTGCTCTATCTGCGGCATTTAAAGGACTTTCTCCTGACATGTCCATTTCCCGGTGGCTGGACTGGGAAGTAAAGGGACAAAATGGAAGACAACGATGCTTCCATAATGTTGTGAAGAAAAAGCAGCATAGACGGAAGCAGTGGAAATTAAACTCAACTCAACTGTATTTTTGAAGGTTGATGGCTAATGACACCACTTTTTATTTCTGGGAGTTTCAAGATAATCCTATTCCACTGCTGGAATGGCCTGGGAATAGCCCAGACCTTCACCCAGTTGAAAATCAATGGAGCTGACTAAGGAAACTTGTTAGTCAGAAGCGACCCAGCAATAAAACCCAGTTAATAGAAGCCATCATGCAATCTTGGTTTCACATTGTAACATCTGCAGAACTAAAAGACTTGGTTCACTCCATGGAAAGATAAGGCTGTAATTCATGCTAAAGGTTACCCAACTAAGGATTAACTGGCATGGCGATCATTTTTGTATATCTCGTTTTTTCTATGGTGATCATTTTTGTATATCTCATTTTTTTTCTACGTGTTTCCCTTTTCTTCTTTATACTGTAACTGCTATTCTAACAGCAAAACCTTCATGAAAGTTATTGCATGACATTCTTGATTAAATTATCTTTCCATTGATATACAATTTTATGGTACTACTCCAAAAAAAATAAAAAGTACTGTTATTAGCTAGTTTTAGAAAATACACTTTTCCCAAAAGGTTTCAACAATTTTGGCCACTGCTGTATTCAACCAGCTTCCATCTTCAATTATTATTATTATTATTATTATTATTGTCTTCTGCTTTTATTTCTCTGGCAGGAAGTGGTCCTGGGTCCCGAATCGACTTCTTACACCTTGGTGGACTTGAGTTCCTCCACATTGTACACGGCAAAGCTGCAGGCCCTGCTCCACACTTTAAAAAGCAACTTCATCCAAACCACGTTCACCACAAGTAAGGGACGAGCGTTTCCGAAGAAAGGCGTATCCACGTTCTTTTCGATGCCAGTTATATGGGGGAATGGCAGAGCTTCCAAGAAAGATACCGTGTTTTTCCGAAAATAAGACCCTGTCTTATATTTTTTTGAACCCTGAAATAAACGCTTGGCCTTATTGCCATGCGCTCAAAAGCCCAATTGCGCTTATTATCAGGGGATGTCTTATTTTGGGGGAAATAGGGTAGGTAGGTAGGTAGGTAGGTAGGTAGGTAGGTAGGTAGATAGATAGATAGATAGATAGATAGATAGATAGATAGATAGATAGATAGATAGATACCGTGTTTTCCCGAAAATAAGACCCTGTCTTATATTTTTTTGAACCCTGAAATAAACGCTTGGCCTTATTGCCATGCGCTCAAAAGCCCGATTGCGCTTATTATCAGGGGATGTCTTATTTTGGGGGAAACAGGGTAGTCCTTGACTTACGACCTGTTTGGACCTAGGCTTCACCAAATTGCGAAACAGACTCCTTCTCCCGAAAGAAAACCCATCCCCTTTTTATTTGGCTAATGCAAATTCCTAGCATTCGCATCCAGCAAAGTCCCGGCAAACAGTCTTTTCAAGGGTGAATTGCAACCACAGACCTTATCAGTCCTTGGAGAGTTGCCAGGCCGATAGCTTCCAGGTGCAACGCTGTACAGTGACGTACGTGGCAAGGAGTCTCTGTGAGGCGCCAACTCAGATAAGGAAATCTTCCCACTAATAAAAGAACTAATTGTCTCCTGCAAACACCACTCCCCTTTTGCTCCTATTTGTTCCCTATAGGAGGGGCCATTCAGCATCTCCTTGTGCCTTTACTCCCGAGGTTTTTATTTATTTATTTTTTATTTTAATTTGATTTATATGCCGCCCTTCTCCGGAGACTCAGGGCGACTTACAATGCGTTAAGCAATAGCCTTCATACTTTTGTTTATTTATACAAAGTCAGCTTATTGCCCCCACAAACTGGGTCCTCAATTTACCCACCTTAGAAAGGATGGAAGGCTGAGTCGACCTTGAGCCTGGTGAGAATTGAACTCGCAGTAATTGCAGGCAGCTGGATGTTAAATGCTGCCTTAGGAGGCATTAACCTCCTATGCCACTCAGGCTCCTTTATAAGGGTCAAGAGTTGACCCTTGTTCCTTAGCTGCTCCCTTCTCCTGACAGCTCTGTGCATGCGCACATCGGGAACAGGCTCCAGCTATTCTTCTGCCCCACTTTTCTCCAATTCCGAAGGTAGCTGATAAGTGTCAGACGGCCCTGGCCCCATCTCTGCCTCTGACGCAGAGCCTTCATCAGACTCCAGGACTGGCCCACGTTCCTCCCCAACCTCCTCACTGTCCGAATCTGCCGCCAGCTCCACTGGCAGGCCACAACATGACCTTTCATTTAGTGACCGACTGGAGTTACCACGGTACTGAAAAAAGGGAATTATGTCAATTTTTTTCACGATGGTTGACGCATCCCCCCACAGTCATAGGATCAAAACTGAGATGCTTGGGCAACCGGTTCGTATTCATGACGGTTGCCATATCCTGGGGAGGTCACGTGATTCCCCTTTTGCGACCTTCCAGCGAGCAATGGGGTCAATGGAAGAAGCCAGATTCACTTAACAACCCTGTTACTAATTAACAAACCGCAGTAATTCGTTTATCCACGGTGGCCAGAAAAGTCATAAAATAGGGCAAAACTCGCTTAACTGTCTCCCTTAGCAACAGAACTTTGGGGCTCAATTGTGGTCAGAAGTCGAGGACTATCTGTAGAGGGAAATTCTGTTTGGGGTGGGTGGAGGATAATATTTTTTTTTAAAAAAAGGAAGGGGGGAGATAGAAAACGATGAGCTGAAATGAAATTTGCTTTTCAAAAGCGTCTCGGCAGCCTCTGAATGAGTGGGGTGCGATAGAACGCAATTCCTTCTTTTCTATGACAATTGTGTTGCACAGGGAGCCTGATTTTGTGCCCGTGGGAGACAGAGGCAGACATTATGCAAAGCACAATCCTCCCATTTCCCCATTGGCATAGGCCTGGAATGATAGGTCAGGGTTTTGCAAAAGGACAACGATGCATAACGAGGCCGTTTCATAATGGGCCAGAAGATGCTTGGAGAAGAGTCAAAGAAATTAAAATAACCAGGGAGGGATAGAACAGCTTTCCACACACACACCCATATTTGAACCGCAGCCCCATGTCTAGCTTTCTTTAAAAAAAAAACACATCCTAATGGTTGTAATGCAAAGACTGTGTGAAGAGAGGGAAGAGACCGAGAATGTCAATAGGGAGGAGGAGGAGGGGGAGAAGGGAGAAGGAAAAGGAGGAGGAGGAGGAGGAGGGAGTTGGAGGAAGAGAAAGAAGAAAAAAGGAGAAGTAGAAGCAGGGGGAGGGAACAAGAGAGGGAGATAGAAGAAAAGGAAGAGGAAGAAAGAAAAAGAAGGAAAAGCAGAAGGAGGAGGAGGGAGGGAGGGAGAGAGATGGAAGAAGACAAAGAGGAAGAAGAAGGAAGAAGAAGAAGGAAGAAGAAGAAGGAAAAAGGAGGGGGAGGGGAATAGGAAGAAGGAAAAGGAGGAGGAGAGGGAGGGAGGGAGATGGAAGAAGAGGAAGAGGGAAGAGAAGAAAGAAAAAGAAGGAAAAGCAGAAGGAGGAGGAGAAGAGGGAGGGAGGGAGATGGAAGAAGAGGAAGAGGAAGAAGGAAGGAGGAGGAAGATGATGCCTAAATCTTCTCCTCTTTTAAATTAAAGGAGGAGAGAGGGAGAGAGATGGAAGAAGAGGAAGAAGAAGGAAGGAGGGAGAGGAGGAGGAGAGAGAGGGAAGGAGGGAGATGGAAGAAGAGGAAGAGGAAGGAGAAGAAAGAAAAAGAAGGAAAAGCAAAAGCAGAAGGAGGAGGAGGGAGGGAGGGAGATGGAAGAAGAGGAAGAGGAAGAAGGAAGGAGGAGGAAGATGATGCCTAAATCTTCTCCTCTTTTAAATTTAAATTTTTAAATTTTAAATACAAATTTTAATTTGTTATGGGGTATTTTAAAATTCAGCCCAATTATTTAATTCGTTTTAATCTATTTTAAATTTTGTATCTCTGTGTTTTATCTTCTGGCTGTTCACCGCCCTGAGTCCTACGGGAGAAGGGCGGTATAGAAATTTAATAAAAATAAAAATAAAAAAAAAGTTTCCCTCTTTGCAACATTCCCTTCCTTTCTCTGCAGCTGGGCTTCTCTACCCTTACCCAAAGACTGCTCCCAAGCTCTGCTGAACGGGGAAATCGCTTCTGGACTATACACCATCTATCTCTATGGCAATCAGTCACAGCCTGTTGAAGTGTACTGCGACATGAATTCTGACGGAGGCGGATGGATTGTACGTATTTTCTCTCGTTGGCTTTTTCTTCCCTTCTTAAAGGTGTTTTGTGTGTGTGTGTGTGTGTGTGTGTGTGTGATTTGCACCAGTGCATGGAGAACCTAAGAAAGGGTAGAAGATTCTCCCACGCTTCAGAAGTTACTCCTGCCATTCCTTAGCTTCTCTTTATATGAAACCCATATAGTAGAGTCTTTAGGTTGGGTTGGATTTTCAGATCACCGAAGCCTGCCAATATATCTTGGGGTGCTTTGCCTCAATTTCTCCTGGGGATGATAGTCCTCTATTTCCCCTGCAAAAATAGTCCCTGGAGGTTTTTAAGAAGAGACTGGTCGGCCACTTGTCTGAAATGGTATAAGTTCACCTGCTTGCGCAAGGGGCTGGACCAGCGGTGAAATCCTATGAAGTCTGCTAGCGGGTCTGTGAATCTGCTATTGAGCACGCATTTTAACAGTAAAAGAGTTGGAAGGGACCTTGGAGGTCATCTAGTCCAACCCCCTGCTCACACAGGAATCCCCCTGTACTAGGGATTCGAACCGCCGAACTGCCGACATTTCTGATCGACAAGCTCAGTGTCTTAGCCACTGAGCCAGATAGCCTCCTTTGCACGCGTGCACACCTGAGGCGCGCCCACGCAGGGCTAAAAAATGAACATTTTGAAGCCTTCCGAGTCTGAAAAGGTAAGTAGAACAGCGAGGGGTGGGGTGGGGAATCTACTGTGCCACACGATTTAGATTAGCTAGAAAGCAGGAAATCCGACGATTCTAGCTAATATCAATCGCACGTCACAGCTGATCCGTCTCCCAGCTGATCGTCGGAAATACCAATTCGCCCGAACGTAGCATTTTTTATTACCGGTTCAGGAGAACCGGTCTGAACCGGTAGCATTTCACCCCTGGGCTGGACCAGAAGACCTCCAGGGTCCCTTCCACCTCCATTCCATTCTATTCCATCCCATTCCATCCAGGGGTGAAATGCTCCCGGTTTGGACCGAATCGGGCGATCCGATAGTGAATGTGGCAGGTGGTTTGGAGAACCGGTAGCGATGGCGGCGCGTGGCTTCACCCACCCGCCCGGGTGTCATTACTTCCTGGTTTTAACCAGGAAGTAATTTGTTTTTTACCCTCTGGGCATGCACAGAAGGTTTTGCACATGCGCAGAGGGTCTGTGAGTGCATGTGATGCGCATGTGTGCGAGCACTTCCGAACTGGTAAGGAAGGTAAGTAGATTTCACCTCTGATTCCATCCCATTTTATTCCTATCTAATCTCCATTCCATTCTATTCCCTATTCCATTCCATTCGATTCCTTCTCTTATTCCACTCCACTCCACTCCGTTCTATTCTATTATTCTATTCTATTAAGAACCCATATTAAGGAAGGTTAGGTAACTCGTACTTGCCAGCATCCTGTTCAGATCCCGTTTACAATCCTCTAAAATGACCGTGATTGCATTGGGATTTCCCCAGGTCTTTTTAAGAAGGCAGAATGGCGAAGTGAACTTCTACCAGAATTGGAGGACTTACGAGAATGGCTTTGGAGATCCCAACAATGAATTCTGGCTAGGTAGGTGGCTACGAAGTTTATTGAGTCAATCGAGATCTGTTGGTTCTTTTAAATGAATATGCAGTACTTCAGGCTCCTGTATGCTTTACTAGAAGGGTAACATCCAATATGATTTCCTGCCATGGTGTTACTACTTCTCCCAAGCTTACGGTACTTTGTAAAGTCTTCCAGATATGGTTCCAAAGACACATTCTCGGTAGCGGTGAGTTTCACATTTTTTTTTTCTTTTGCAGGACTGGACAAGCTTCACAAAATCACTTCCCAAGGCCTGTATGAGCTGAGGGTGGATCTGCGTGATCGCGGAGAGACTGCGTATGCTCTCTACAACAAGTTCAGCGTTGGGGATGCCAGGACACGCTATCGACTGAAAGTAGATGGCTACAGTGGTAATGCAGGTCGGTTTTTCTGTTTGTTTTGTGAAAAGAAGGTGTTATGGTCTGCCAGCAGCCTGCGGACAGTGAGGAGGCTGGGGAGGAACATGGGCCAGTCCTGGAGTCTGGGGAAGGCCTGGATGAAGGCTCTGCGTCGGAGGCAGAAAGGGGGCCAGGGCCATCTGGGAGTGATGCGCTGACTCCAGAGCCTCCAGAGTAGGATATCAGCGAGGCAGAGGAACAGAGGAAACTTTTTTTAAAAAAATTTGATTTATATGCCGCTCTTCTCCGGAGACTCAGGGCGGCTTACAGTGCATTAAGCAATAGCCTTCATACTTTTGTATATTTATACAAAGTCAGCTTATTGCTCCGTGACCTAGTAGCCATAATAATCTCCATAACAATATGACTATCCTTATTTGTGTGTCAAAAATATTCTCCTCTTCCCATCATACAGGTGAATCCATGAGTTACCACAACGGACGGGCGTTCTCCACCTTTGACAAGGACAATGACTCCGCCATCACAAATTGTGCCTTATCATACAAAGGGGCATTCTGGTACAGAAACTGCCACCGAGTCAACCTTATGGGTCGGTACGGAGACAACAGTCACAGCCAGGTAAGTTGTTCTGGATGAGCCCATGTGCATCCATTACGCTAGAACCGTGATGGTGAACCTATGGCACGCCATATTGGTGGGCACACGAGCTCAGCTCTGGTGCGCATGCGCGTGCTGGCCAGCTGATTTTTGGGCCTTCTGGGCCCACCAGAAGTAGGGAAACAGGCTGTTTCCTGCCTCCGGAGAGCCTCGGGAGTGGGGGGAAAGAAGGCCCATTTTTCTGTCTCCCTGTTCTGTCCCCGTCCCACACACGCACCCCCACAAATGGCCCGGAGTTAATAAGCCACACGACAAAGTCTTTGCAGATAAAGCTGGCAGCAACCCAGTGGCTAGCTGCCAATTCAGACTTTACTCACACAAAACAAAGATTAGACTGCCAGCATTCCGATAAAGCAGGCAAAGTTTCAGCAATACAAGGATTAGTCCAAATGCAGTCCGACAAGGCAGGCAGAAGTCCAGTAACGCAGAGATCATGGATTATTTCTAGTTTTTGCTCATCACAAACTGAACCGGCCACCCCACCCACATTTATATCCTGTGGCGTGTGGTCCAGTGACTCAGCTAATCTCTGGCATGCCTTCCCCTCTGCTGCACACACTTCTCCCTGCGCCGCTGTCGAGGATCCAGCCAGCACTTATCTCCTTCATCACTGTCCACCTGTGGCTGCAGGGACGTGCTTGGCTCTGGGCCTATCTCTTGGCCTTCAGTGTCCTCTGGAGGCATTGCCAGAGAGGAGGGTCCTGGAGAGGGAGGCCTTGCCAACTCCTGTCCCTCACTCTCAGAGTCTGCATCTGTCGATAGCCCAGGCTCAGGCAACGGAGCCACAACACTCCCCAGCCTCCAGAGCCTTGACTATACGCACTTTTGTTGGCCATGGTGAATTGGCCATGATGAGTTGGCCATGATGAGTTGGCCATGGTGAATTGGCCATGGTGAGTTGGCCATGATGAGTTGGCCATGATGAGTTGGCCATGGCGAGTTGGCTGCAACAATTTGGCTGTGTCATGTTGTCCCATTACCTTCCACACCATGATGCTGGTCTGATCGACCCATCCCTAACTCCGACCTCAACTTACCGCTTTTCTATTTTGCAGGGAATCAACTGGTTCCACTGGAAAGGCCACGAGCATTCCATTCCATTTGCGGAGATGAAGCTACGGCCTTCCAATTTTAGGAATTTGGAAGGAAGGCAGAAGAGAGCGTAAAGGATCTCTCCTTTTTTTTTTTTCCCTTTTTTTTTTCTTTTGGCATTGACCGAGAAAAATGGAACAAAAGGGTGGGAAATAATAATAATAATAAAAAACCGAGCTTTTCTCCCCACTCACCCCAGAAAAATTGAGAAGAGAGATAGAGATAGAGAGATTGGCGACAAAGCTGGAAATGTGTACCAAAGTATCTGTGTTGTGTGAGAGCCCACCTTGGCTCTTTTTGACCAGTTTCTATTTTTATTTCTTTTTTGTGGGGTGGGATGGGGCTGGGAAAGCCTTATTCAAAACGTAGCATGCTCAGTGGAGCATTTTTTTTGTTTCCTTGTCCATAGATGGCTTTCTTTGCACCAAAGAAGATAATCTTGGAAGGGGAGGGAAGGAGGGAAGGATTTCTATATAGGTTTTTTTCCCCTTCTCTCTCTCTGTCAGAGGGCTTTTGTTGACTTGAAACTTTCCTGGGTGGCTCAGAGGAACTGCAAGAATGGAAGGACTTCTCTCTTTTTTTTTTCCTTCTCTTCGCTTAACAAACCAGCCACAACAAAAGACAAATAATAATAATAATAATAATAATAATCGTGTTTGTGTCCATTCCAAATTAGTAGTTCACACTCTGGAATCTCTCTTCGTCTCAATCCCTTCATCCGTCCATCCATCCATTTCTCAGTACTGGGAAAACAGGAGGAAACAGTTCAGCCTAAAAATTAATATTATTAATATAAATGATGTGGGGGGGAGGGAAAGGAAGATTATAATAATAAGCTAAATTTGTGTCATTTTGTAAAAAAAAATAAAAAAAAAAATAGAAGCCCATGCTTTCTGAAACCCAACGGGACGGTGTCTGATTGTAATTTTTTTTTTTAATTAATAAATAAAAGCACAAGTTTACTTTTATAGACATTTCTGGTTTGGATTTTTTTTTTAACCTCCCCAGGGCTGTACTCTTTGTGTGCAAAGCCAGGGTTGTGTCGGAATAGGAGTGCAATTGTGGGCTTTTGGGTGTCTGTGTAATTGTGTATTAAATGGATGCAGATCAGTTTTGATTCAAAAACACCGATTTCACTTAGACATAAAGCAACAGCTTTAATTTTCTCTTGGGCTATGGCTCCTTCCTTCCCTCCCTCATCTTTCTTCTTCCTTCCTTCCCTCTTCTTTCTCCTTTTCCTTCCTCCTGTCCTCCCTCCCTCATCTTTCTTCTTCCTACATTCTTTCTTTCCTTCCTTCCTTCCTTCGTCTCCATCCTCTTTCTCTTTCTTTCTTTCCTTCTTTCCTTCCTTCTTTTGTTCCTTTGTTCTTTCCTTCCTTTCTCCCTCCCTCCTTCTCTTTCTCCTTCCTTCCTTTCTCCCTCCCTCCTTCTCTTTTTCCTTCCTTCCTTCCTCCTGTCTTCCCTCCCTCCTTTCTCCTTCCTTCCTTCCCTCCTTCCTTTCTCCCTTCCTATCTCCTTCCCTCCTATTTCTCCTTCCTTCCTTCCTTCCTTCCTCCTGTCCTCCCTCCCTCATCTTTCTTCTTCGTACATTCTTTCCTTCCTTCCTTCCTCTGTCCTTTCTCCTTCTTTCTTTCTTTCCTTCCTTCCTTCCTTCTTTTGTTCTTTTGTTCCTTCCCTCCCTCCCTCCCTCCCTCCCTCCCCCTTTCTTTCTTTCTTTCTTTCTTTCTTTCTTTTTCTTTCTTTCTTTCTTTCCCTATCTCCAACTAAACAAAGCCAAGAGAAATAGGGGGTGGGGTGGGAACAAGAATTAGTTACATACTGCCATTTGGAAGAAGTTGGACTATTTCCAACTTACAGAGTTTACTTTGTCTTCCTCTGCCTTTCCAACACAATTTTTTAACAGGGGGTGGCAGTAAAGCAAGGCTTAGTTGGACAAAGAATTGAGGCGGGCAGCACAGTGAGAGGTTCACAGATTCTTCTCTTGTTTCTCAGGGTTCTTTAAACAATGATAACCTTCCTTAGAGGCATAGCCCAGCTCTAAAGTTTCCCAGTATTCATCTCATAAAATGGCATGAAACGCCCTCAATCCTCGCTGAAATCCTAAGAAACCTACAGAATTTGGAAAAGAACAATATAATGGGGGTGGGGTTGAAACTGTAATGGATCGGATTAACCATCATGGAAACTCTTGGCTGAGATGATTTAAACAACAAGAAGCTGGCCGGGAAGGAGAAGACAGAAAGGCACATAAAAGGAGAAGAATTGTGAATCATTCAAATGACTTAGCACCAGTGGTGAAATCCGAATTTTTTTTTACTACCAGTTCTGTGGGTGTGGCTTGGTGGGCATGGTTTGGTGGGTGTGGAAGGGGGAGGATACTGCAAAATCTCCATTCCCACCCCACTCCAGGGGAAGGATACTGAAAAATCCCCATTCCCACCTCACTCCAGGGGAAGGATACTGAAAAATCCCCATTCCCTCCACACTCCTGGGGAAAGGATATTGCAAAATCCCCATTCCCACCCCACTCTGGTTCTCCAGAACCTATCAGAACCTGCTGGATTTCACCCCTGAACCGATGGGAGAAAGCATTAAGAAGTTGCAGAAGGAAGGATGAGCTTGAGATAGATGAACTCTTAAGATTAATTTAAGATGAAAATCAACATTGCTGAGACTCGATGAAAGAGTGCAGAGAAGAGCAAGAAAGATGATTAGGAGACTACCTTTGTGAGAGACCTCTTGTGTTTTTTCCATCTGTTATGCTCAGATGTCTTGTGAAAACTCTAAAGCCTTAGGCTCAGCAGAAGCCCTTCTGAAATTCAGGTAACCTGAATAGGACCAAACATTCCATCGTTTATGCCAGAATTCCTGAAACTTGGCAACTTTAAGACTTGTGGACTTCAACTCCCAGAATTCCTCAGCCAGCCAACCAAAGCTGCCAGACTTGGCAACTTTGAAACTTGTTGTGGACTTCAAATACCAGAAGCCCTCAGCCAGACTGATGGACTTCAACTCCCAGTGGTCCTCAGCCAGACTTGTGGACTTCAACTCCCAGAGCTTCTCAGCCAGACTGGTGGACTTTCAACTCCCAGAGCTTCTCAGCCAGACTGATGGACTTCAACTCCCAGAAGTCCTCAGCCAGACTGGTGGACTTCAACTCCCAGAGCTTCTCAGCCAGACTGGTGGACTTCAACTCCCAGAAGTCCTCAGACAGACTGGTGGACTACAACTCCCAGAAGTCCTCAGACAGGTTTATGAATTTCAACTCCATGACTTCATGGCTGGCTGAGGAATTCTGAGAGTTGAAGTCCACATGTTGCCAAGTTTGGAGACCCAACTCATATGTGATCCACCATTATTTCACTATCTCCATTATCTGTAACTATAATCCCAGAATCATACACAGGAATTGAGGTGTAGACTTATCAGAACACAATACAGGGGAATGAGTACACCTAGCACTGATGAGGTTACCTAATTGGGTAATGAAACGCCTACAAAAAACAAACCAGTTCAGAGAGCACTAAAAATGCCACAATAAGCACTTCACACCACTTTCGTGTGAAACTTCTTTTGATGTTGTTCAGAACTGCATCAGCAGCAAAAACAGCACCGAGAAGGCACATGCACTGTGCCCCCAAATTCAGATGTAGTAGTGGTTTCATTTGAAGGTGGTTAAAATCAAGATGTGCTAGATCCACTATTATTTCACCTGTAACTATATTTTGCCAAACTGCCTTGATGGGAAATTTCTGCTCAGAACCACTAGATGGCACTGCAACCCCACTTTTGAGAAATGAGCCAGGGTAGCAAAAATACAGAATAGCAGAGTTGGAGGGAACTTTGAAGGTCATCTAGTCCAACCCCCTGCTCAGACAGGAAACCCTATACATTCCAGAGAAATGGCTGCCCAGTCTCTTCTTGAAAACCTCCAGTGATGGAATACCGACAATTTCTAGAGGAAAACCCTTCCATTGATTAATTATATCATGTCAGGACATTTCTCCTTAGTTCTAAGTTGGATCTCTCTCTTTAAGGATTTTCCACTTTTTATTTCTAGTCCTGCCTTCAGGTGCTTTGGACAATAAGTCAATTCCATTACCTCTTTGATAATCACTTCAACTGTTGGAAGATAGTTATCAAGTTTAAGACTTGTGGACTTCAAGTCCCAGAATTCCTCAACCAATTTGTGGACTTCAACTCCCAGAATTCTTCAGCCAGACATGTGTATTTCAACCCTAAGACTTATTTATTTATTTATTTATTTATTTATTTATTTATTTATTTATTTATTATTTATTTATTTATTTATTTATTTATTTATTTTTAAATTTGTATACCGCCCTTCTCCCTGAGGACTCAGGGCGGTGAACAGCCAAGTAAAAGCATAAACTACAAACATTAAAATACAATTAAAATATATATATATAAATTTGGCCCCATGATTAAAAACAATAACAAACAATTCAAAACATTTTTAAAAGTGTTAGGCCAGCCCAGCTTGCTGGAAAAAGAAGGTTTTAAGGGCACGGCGGAAGGCACCGAGGTCTTGGATTCTCCTTATCTCTGGGGGCAGCTGATTCCAGAGGGAAGGTGCCCCCACAGAGAAGGCCCTCCCCCTGGGGGTCACCAGCCTGCATTGTTTTGACTTCATGGCTGGCTGATGAATTCTGGGATTTGAAGTCCACAAATTGCCAAAGTTGGAGACCCAACTCCAATTCCCTCTTCACTGGGATAACCTGTGATAATGATTAGGGGACTGGAGGCTAAAACGTATGAAGAACGCTTGCAGGAATTGGGTATGTCTAGTTTAATGAAAAGAAGGACTAGGGGAGACATGATAGCAGCCTTCCAATATCTCAGGGGCTTCCCCAAATAAGAGGGAGTCAAGCTATTCTCCAAAGCACCTGAGGGCAGGACAAGAAGCAATGGGTGGAAACTCATCAAGGAGAGAAGCAACTTAGAACTAAGGAGAAATTTCCTGACAGTTAGAACAATTAACCAGTGGAACAACTTGCCTCCAGAAGTTGTGAATGCTCCAACACTGGAAGTTTTTAAGAAGAGGTTGGATAACCTTTTGTCTGAAGTGGTGTAGGGTTTCCTGCCTAAGCAGGGGGTTGGACTAGAAGACCTCCAAGGTCCCTTCCAAACTCTGTTATTCTATTCTGTTCTAACCCCTTAAGTAATGAAGACAGTTATCAACTTTGAGACTTCAGCTCCCAGAGTTCCTCAGCCAGACTTGTGGACTTCAACTCCCAGAATTCCTCAGCCAGTATGGCTGAGGAATTCTGGGGGTTGAAGTCCACAAGTCTCAAAAGTTGCTAAGTGTGGCGACCCCTGGTTTATGCAATGTTCTGTTCAACAAAATTTATTTGACTGTAATTTACACCCATTATTTCTGGTCCTAGTTTGGAGGCATTTTTCCTACACTACCTGAACATGGTTGTCACAGCTGTCTTCCATCCAGATGAATGGATGTATTTCTCCAGGTGAACAAACCAGGGTTTGTTTTCATTCAGTCTACCCACATAGAGCATGTCTCCAAGTCCCTGTATTATTTTCCTTGTTTTAACCGGCCAATAATCCCAAAATCATGCACAATAATTGAGACGTCGATTTATCAGAACACAACAGAGGTTGAACGAGTACACCCAGCACTGATTAGGTTGCCTAATTGGGTAATGAAACGTCTGTAAGAAACAATGGATTGGATTCACGTGTGAGTCACCATAAAAGTTTGCCAAGTCGCCTTGATGGGAAATGTCCACTCACAACCACTAGATGGCACTGTAACCCCGCTTTTGAGAAACGAGCCACTGGTAACAACACAGAATAGTAAGTTGGAAAAACAAGCCACAGGTAGCAAAATACAGAATAGAAGAGTTGAAGGTCATCTAGTCCAACCCCCTGCTCAAGCAGGAAACCTGTATCATTCCAGACAAATTGCTGTCCAGTCTCTCTTTTTTTT